TGAGCTAACCAGACAAATCGTCAGCCCATCCGACGAGCTTGAAGAGGAGCGGTGTTACATCGCCGGTAGCGTTAGCTTGAAAAAACTAAATGCGGCCATACAAACCTCCAGCCATGTAAATCGCGGTGTCCAGAAACATCCACTGGCAGGGCCAGCGCGTCCATAGAGGCGACCTAGGCGGCAGAATAAAAAGGGTGGCGTCCCCAACACTACCCTCACCTCTCGCGCCCTCAGTTATATCCGCGTCTTGGGCGGCATCCCCGACACTACCCTCACCAACCGCACCCGGTTGGGTTGTTCTGAATAGATAAGGAATCAAACATCACCACTTTGCAAAATTGCCCTGCAACAGGCAATTGAGAGGGGTCTGGATGCAGACCTGGTGCAGTGCAATCTGAGCTGCATCCAATGCTTTATAATGCGCTCACCTAACCCCACCCCTAACCCCACCCCTCACAGTGACGTCACTCACTCCATTGAGTGCACTGTGTCTGACATTGAATCGCTGAGTGATGCAGTCTCAGCTTGCATCATCAAGGCTGCATCCAGATACTTTTGAAAAAGTTGGTAGCACTTTATTTTGATGGTACATTTGAGTGTTAGCAGACTGTCTGCTTACAGTAAATCAAGTGAAACAAAACACACGGAATCTCTCAAAATCTCAGCAAAGGATCATTAAGCAACTCCACAAACAGCAGCTTATTACCAACCTGTTCGAGAGGGGTCTGGCTGCAGACTCAGTGCAGTGCAATCTGAGCTGCATCCAATGCTTTTTAATGCGCACCTCTAACCCCACCCCTCACAGTGATGTCACTCACTCCATTGAGTGCATTGAGTCTGACGTTGCATCGCTGAGTGATGCAATCTCAGCTTGCATCATCATGGCTGCATCCAGATTCTATTGACCTGTTCGCCTTATTTCTGACAGACTCTACAAAATTCCATACAGTGATATTATTGACAATTAGCAAACAATAAAAAAATAAAAATAAACATTATTGAGGAGTACAGCAGTTGCTTTGCTTGGACTCTTTGACTCGATTTCTAATGTTAGTTTCTCTTTGCTTGCCAAATAATGTGTTATGGCAAATACGGCATAAAGCAGTGGTGCTCAACCCTGCTCCTGAAGATGAAATGCCCATGTGTGTTTTTTTAAAGGCAGCTCTAAGTAGTTTGAGAATGAATGCTCTTAGCTTCATGCAGATGCTCCAGTAATTACAATGAGAAAGATGCTGATAACCTGGACACTGTACGCATCGTCTTCACCAACAGATCTGATTTCATTACATACAAAATGAGTTCAGTCCCACAGATTGTGAGAACAAAGTTTTGAATATACAAGCGTTCGATACTAAGGATGAGCACATTTGTTCCGTTTTAAAATCACGTTTTTTTTTCTTCCTCTTCTCCTCTCTAATCTAAGTGATCCGTTCCCTGTGAGACGTGCTCCCGGTTGAACCCCTGCTGGCCGGGCCTCCAGCCGCTCATATGCTGGAACATTTGAGCACATCTGTTGTGTGTTACGTGATGGATTATTCTGACATCTGCCCCCATCTATCCCCCACCTGAACAGACAGCTTTCATTTGGCTGAACTCAAAGTCAAAACCATGTTCAAAACCGTGCGGGAGAACAGAGACGTGGAGTTCGGCGGGTTTCACCTTACTTCAACCATAATCTTATTATCAAGATAAAGTCTAAATCAGACATTCATTAGGACTTTGATTCAACTGGACACGCGGATTCTCTTCAAAACACATTCTTCTTCTTAAATAAATACGATTTATTTTCCTCCTGGTGATTCGAATGTCGAGCCAATGCCCATATTAGTAAAGACTGGCAGTGTGCTGCAAGAAAAACAGCCAGACTCATCCAACACTCACACTGTCAGGAGGATCAAATATGCAAATGTTAATTCTACAATAATAAAACACAAGTGCGCATTCAAAGTGATCCATGTTTGTGTTAAATCCATAACAGTGGGCCGTGGGTAGCACAATCGCCTGACAGAAAGAAGGTCGCTGGTTCGAGCCCCAGCTGGGTCAGTTGGTGTTTCTGTGTGGAGTTTGCATGTTCTCCCCGTGTGAGTGTGGGTTTCCTCCAGGTGCTCCGGTTCCCTCCACAAGTCCTAAGACATGCAATACAGATGAATTGGGTCAGCTAAATTGTCCGTTGTGTGAATGAGTGGGTGTTTCCCAGTGATGGATTGCAGCTTGAAGGGCATCCGCTGTGTAAAACATATGCTGGATAAGTTGGCGGTTCATTCCGCAGTGGCGACCCCTGATTAATAAATGAATTAAGCCAAAAGAAATGAATGAACGAATGAAACTGATGTGTTTTTGAGCAGCTCAGTATTGAAGACTTAACGCTAAACGTATGGTTTCTGAAAGATATTTAAAAACAAATGAAACAAAATACATGTTTATTTAATGAAAACTGTTTCATTCGCAAAAAAAAAAAAAAAAACATTTATGTTGAATCAATGATTGTATGTAAATTCCAACCTGATTTCATAAGGAAGGTAATTATTTTACATTTTGTCCCAAAAGTGGATAATACTCATGAAAACATGGTTTATAACCCTGGCCCTCATTGAGAGATATAAGCAATATTGTATTTAAATATATGAAGTAGATTGATACTAAATCAAAATGTTATGAATTTCCTTGATATTGCCTTGGTAAATTCATGAATTGCCCACATGTCCCCATGGATTGTTTTCAAGCTTCTCTCCATTAAGTCGAGGTCAAAAATATGCTGCTTCATGATCAGTGTTGGGGAAAGAGTTTTAATGTAATGCATTACAATAGGCGGTTCATTCCGCTGTGGCAACACCTGATTAATAAAGGGAATAAGCAGAATAAAAAATGAATGAATGAATGCATTATAATATTGGGTTACTCGTCAAAAAATGTAGTTGCGTTACTTCACTACTTTTTATAGTAAGTAATGTGTTACGTTACTTTTGCGTTATTTTTTATTATCAGGCTGAGGCTTGATCTCTCAGAACTAGTTTTTTTTTTAACTTTTTTTACCCTTTTTTTACTTAAAAAAATCCCCTTTTTACATTTTTTTAACCTTTTTACTTTTTTAAAACATTTTTTTTCACTTTTTAAAAAAAAAATTTTTACTTTTTTTTTTTTTTTTTTTTTTTTACAATTTTTTAACCCTTTTTATTTTTTATATATATATATATATATATATATATATATATATATATATATATATTTACTTTTTTTGTTATCTGAGAACTTCCTGACCACATTGCTATACATGCCATATATACACTCATTTTCTTTTCAGCTTAGTCCCTTTATTAATCCGGGGGTGCCACAGCAGAATGAACCGCCAACTTATCCAGCAAGTTTTTACGCAGCGGATGCCCTTCCAGTTGCAACCCATCTCTGGGAAACATCCACACACACATTCACACACACACACACTACAGACAATTTAGTCTACCCAATTGACCCATACCGCATGTCTTTGGACTGTTGGGGAAACTTGAGCACCCCGAGGAAACCCACTTGAACATGGGGAGAACATGCAAACTCCACACAGAAACACCAACTGACCCATCACCGGCATCACCGCCGTAGATTACTGAAAGTTTAAAGCAATGTTTGCGACTTTTGTACTATTTGTCCTAAATATAAAATCAGTATCCATTAAGACTATAATCCCAATTTCCTTATCATCCATGCGTTCAAAATTATGAACACTTTCTCTCATTGCGTCAATTTTAATAAGCTAAGTAAGAAACTTGCGTCACATTTTCAAAATAGTAACTTTAACATTCGTACTTCTTTTTATAAATGCAATGCGTCACTCATTACTTATTATGTAACTCGCATTACCTATAATGCGTTCCCCTAGACTGTTTATGAATACTGCGTTTCTAAAACCGTTAAACGTTTTTACACTTGTGTAGGTGCTTTTAGCTTTGTAATATACCCCCTTTACTTTATTCAAGAGCGAGTATTGTCATCTGATTAAACATTGATGATCTGCACACTGATGAGGGTAAACTTATGATACACAGGGCAACTATTTGGTCACACTTTATTTTAAGGGTCCATTTGTTGAGTTTAAGGTACATTGTGTCAACATGCCAACGAATTCTCATTAGATTATAGGTAGACTGTTAGGGTCGGGGTTAGCGTAAGCTGACATGTACTTTCAAATGTTATTATAGTCCAACGCAATCTCACGGCAATTCGTAACTTTTTGATTTAGCTAATTCCTATGAATTCGTATGATGTAATTCGTACAATTTAATATGATTTGCTCATCACCCAATGACGGTTGGGTTTAGGGGTGGGGTTAGATGCCGCGCCTCCTTTTTAAAATTGTACTAATTCGTACGACTGAACTCGTTCGAATTTAAAACGTAAAATACTTACGTTTTCGCGTGAGATCAGGCTGTATAGTCAGCTAAATGCCTGTTGACGGAACACATCAACAGATATTACACCTTTGTGCAGAAATGCGACAGAGAATAACTGTAAGACCGTGAACTGTGAGCTAAACTGAAGTGTTATTGGTACTTGAAATGGCAGTTGTTTTGTTTATTTTGTGATTAATTAATTTGGACATCTTTCATGCAGATTTTGAGTAAAAATCTTACTCTACTTTTGAAAGACTGTTCTTCTTTTCATGATTTAGCATTGATGGGTACGTGGGCTTGCCCTGGAAATCTAAATAAAAGCATATAAACATTCCTAAAGCCGTCTCAAGCAACATTTAGACCATGTCAAACTCAGAGCCCAAGCATGGAACCCATGAAATATTCATCCATCTGTTAATATTTGAAACAGCTTGTCACTTTCGTTTGTAGCTCTACCGTCTACGCAATGCAACCCAGTCTGATGGCGTCCCCTCGGCTGCTGTTCTGTAACAGAGCATTCCTTGTGCTCACTCGACGTCTGTTTCTCCACGACTATCCGGGGCATGTCAGAATCTTCTAGGCCCAACTCATGTGTGTTTATTTGTTTGTCTGCAGTGCTTACAACCATGCAAGGAATTATGGGAAACAAGACGAGCCCTGTCTCCCAAGACCTGTGAGGTAAGTCTCTCCACAGAGAGCTTGTTTCTGACTGAACGCCTCATGCTTTTTGCTGACTGCAGATTGTTACAGCCGTGAAGGAAAGGCTAATAGTGTAGGATGTTTCTCTGATTAAAAACCACACAAATCAACACAGCGCACACATGAATATACCTCTGAGACCAGCATACGCCTGTGCAAGATAAATTAGCAAATGGAGCCATGTAGTCACGCTTTGCAATCAAAGATGTGACAAGCGTGCATGTGGTTGTGTGTGTGGTGGTCTAAACCAAACTGGTGCAGCAACTGAATGGCTCTCCCCATACAATCATTATATATATATATATATATATATATATATATATATATACACACACATACAATATAAAAAAATACATTCACATAGACAAATACACATTTTGGCCATTTTTGCAAATATATAATACATATAAAAATTGCTATAAAGCAAAACAATTAAAAACTGCTTTTATTCTAGCCCAAATAAAACAAATAAGACTTTCTCCAGAAGAACAAACATTATCAGACACACTGTGAACATTTCCTCAATCTGTTCAACACCATTTCGGAAATATAAAAAAAAAAAAAAAAATTCAAATGGGGGCGAATAATTCTGACTTCAACTGTAAATACACCCCTCACAAGTCTATCTTTAAAATTCATATTTGTAGTAGGAAGCTATAAAATATTAAACAAGAGAAGCAAAGTAATAATAATAATAATAATAATAAAAATAATAATAATGATAATAATAATAATAATGCTAATAATAATAATAATAATGTTAATAATAATAATAATAATAATAATAATGTTAATAATAATAATAATAATAATAATGTTAATAATAATAATAAAATTAATAATAATATTAATAATAATTATAATAATAATAATGTTAATAATAATAATTATAACAATAATAATAATAGTAATAATGTTAATAATAATAATACCAATGTTAATAATAAAAAATAATAATAATGTTAATAATAATTATAATAATTATAATAATAATAATGTTAATAAAGGGACTAAGCCGAAAAGAAAATGAATGTATGATTGAATAAATAAATAAATAAATAAATAAATAAATAAATAAATAAATAAATAAATAAATAAATAAAAGCTAAAAATGCATGTTATATCAAAGACATCTGTATTTGAGTCCACATGCTAAAATGAATACAGTAAATGTGTAATGAGTGGGGATTGCGCAACAGAGGTGAGAATCCAAATGCAGTTTACTATAATTTTTTTAGGCAGAAAAAGGTCATAAAAGGTGCAAACAGGAGCATGAAGTTAACCCCACAATGTGGATTAAAATAATAGGTGAACAGTCAGGAGAGGTGACAAAACAACATGAGCAAAGAAACAAAGGTCAAAACAAGGCAAGGCAAATGCTTGGAATTGCTCACAGTTAACAAGACTCAGCAATGTGTGTGTGAGTGAGGTGTATTTATAGTCCTGGTAATCAGACTTTATAAGCTTTAGCTGTGTGTTTGTAATCAAGGGGGATCTGGGCCAGGTGTGTGGGTAAAGTGCATGATGGGATCTGTAGTGCAATGAATGTGAGTGCAAGAGCAACACTGCTGGTGATGATAAGGTTGGAAATGCATTTTCTTCACCCTGAATACATATGTAGAAATACATTTTTTGGTGTAAATTAAATGTATTTTTGATGTCAAACACCACAGATACATGTTTAACATACTGTTGACGTCAGAATTATTAGTTCTCTTGTGAAGTTTTTTTAAAATATATTTCTTAAACTAAGTTGAACAGATTGAGGAAATGTTCACAGTGTGTCTGATAATGTTTGTTCTTCTGGAGAAAGTCTGATTTGTTTTATTTGGGCTAGAATAAAAGCAGTTTTTAATAGTTTAAACAGCATTTTAAGCTCAATATTATTCGCCCCTTTAAGCTATATTTGTTTTGGATAGTCTACAGAACAAACCATCGTTATACAATAACTTGCCTAATTACCCTAACCTGCCTAGTTACCCTAATTACCCTAGTGAAGCCTTTACATGTCACTTTAAGCTGTATAGAAGTGTCTTGAAGAATATCTAGTCTAATATTATTTACTGTCATCATGACAAAGAGGAAATAAATCAGTTATTAGAGATGAGTTATTAACACTGTTATGTGCACAAATGTTAAATAAATCTGCTCTCTGATACACAGAAATTGGGGGAAATAATAATCAGGGGGGCGAATAATTCAGGAACGCCAATAAATCTGACTTCAACTGTACATTTAGAATATATATTTGGCCTGGAAAAAAGTCAAAGATTTTACCGTATGCCAGTGTGAATTCATGGCCCATTTATGCCATGTCCCTGGAGTGGTTGAGTGCAGAGATTATGTTTCTCTCAGCGGAGACTATTGAAGTAAACCAGATAAGAGCCGTATTTACGTCGAGAGCTTTGTTCTTCACAGAAAACGCAACAACTGTTAACATCCTGCTGAAGTTCATTGATCATTATCTCAAGAAAGCTTTAATTTAAACAGTCAGCGTGAAGCGTTTCAACGCTTGAGCTCTATCAGATGGACGCTCTGTGTGGTTCGGTTGTGCGTAAGACTCGTCGGGTAATAATAAGTACCCAGAAAGCTTCACAGCCACTTAGAAACATGCAGTGAAGGCCTTTGTTGTTTCCCCAATTCTGTGATTCACCCAATGGAAGAAACATGCTCCTCGTTGAGACTGACAGAAGTGTTGAGTTGAGTAATCCTGGAGATGAATGCTTTCCAGAGCAGCCACATGTGTCCGTGTGTCTGTGTGTGTGTGTGTGTGTGTGTGTGTGTGTGTGTGTGTGTGTGTGTGTGTGTGCGTGTGTGTGTGTGTGTGTGTGTGTGTGTGTGTGTGTGTGTGTGTGTGTGTGTGTGTGTGTGTCCAGCGCCAGAGAAGGTGTATGTGAAAACAATGTTTACTTGGGAATTGATCAGAAATCATGTTGCACTACTTGCTTTTTCAATCTTTAATATCTATTTTGCACATTATCTTGTTCCGTCTTATGTGCATTTTATATTTAATAATTAAGCAGATGCTTTTGTTCAAAGCGGCTCACAATTGAGGAGGCATTCAGCAATTCAACAAGAGACAAAACCCACAAGAAGTGTTAGTTATACAAGCAACTGTGTGTGCTCAGAGAATTAACAGCTAGAGTAAGGAGAGGGGGGGGGGGGGGGGTTGGGTTATAGAGAGAACAGTGTTTCTACAGGTGGTTTGTCAAGCCCACTCACCTGTGTGAGGCACACTTCATAAATGCACAATGTATTTTATTGTGATGTGGAGTGATTGTAAGAATGTGTCTAGAAAGTGTTTGAAAAGTGTCAGAGAAATAAAAGAGTGTGTTTTCTACAGGTGGTTTGTCAAGCCCACTCACCTGTGTGAGGCACACTCAGAAGTGATGATGTTTTGAGGATGTTGTGTGGTGTGGTTTGGGAAAAGAGGAGATGTTTTTTTTATACGGAAAATATCATAAACAAACAAACAACAACCAAAGATTCATTCATTTATTTTCCTTCAGCTTAGTCCCTTATTTATCAGGGGTCACCACAGCGGAAGGAACCGCCAACTATTCCAGCATATGTTTTATGCAGTGGATGCCCTTCCAGGTGCATCCCAGTACTGGGAAATACTCATTCACTCTTACATTCACACTCATACACTATGGTGAATTTGGTTTACCCAATTAATCTATAGCGCATGTGTTTGGACTGTGGGGGAAACCAGAGCACCTGGAGGAAACCCACAGGAACGAAGGGAGAACATGCAAACTCCACACAGAAAGGCCAAAGATTCATTCATTCATTTATTTTATTTTCAGCTTAGTCCCTTTATTAATCTGGGGTCGCCACAGTGGAATGAACCGCCAACTTATCCAGCATATGTTTTACGCAGCGGATACCCTTCCAGCTGCAACCCATCACTGGGAAACATCCATAAACTCTCACACACATAAACTATGGACAACATGTTTTTGAACTTGTGGGGGAAACCGGAGCACCCATAGGAAACCCATGCGAACACGGGGAGAACATGCAAACTCCACACAGAAAGGCCAACGGCCAAAGATCTCCAACTGAACATGACTAATCAACAAAACAATCCAAACATTAAGAGATAAGGAGCCCAACAACGTATAAAAATAAACAACTAAACCAACATAAAGCAGGTTGGGACTAACCACTCCAAACTAAGAAAAGTAGAAGGGAAAACGCAGCTGCCGTACCTCACTGTAAGATTTCAAGCTCATTTAAACTGTCTGCGCACAAGAAGTCATAAAGTTTGCAACTTTATTATCAATTATTTATTCATTTTCCTTTGGCTTGGACCATTATTTATCAGGGGTCACCACAGCGGAATGAACCGCTAACTATTCCAGCACATGTTTTATGCTGTAGATGCCCTTCCCCAACAGCAATCCAGTTCTGGGAAACACATAAACACTCTTGCATTCACACACACACACACACACACACACACACACACACACACACACACACACACACACACACACTTACATCTGTTTGTTTTTTCCAGTGTTGTGCAGCTCTAGCTCTTTCGTCATGACCGGTTATTTCCTTCTACTTTATGTTCACACGTCGTGAAATGACAGTAAAACTCAACTTGACTGGTTTGACTCGGGCCAGAAAGGTGAACAGCGTGAGAGACTGTGAGTCAATACAAACACACGCCGGGACAGAGACTCGGGGACCGCTGGCCGCCTTTGTCATCCACCGGCATGTTTGGGTGGGTGGCTTTGTCTAACCGCTGCGTCCCACTCGGTGTCTGTCTTTCCTTGACTTTTTGTCACTCCCTGATTTTCCAGCTGCCTCTCATTAGTGCTGTGTGCTAAATCAAGCTCAGTATTGCTCTGAGAGTTGGAGATTTAAACACACCCCATGCACTCGCTACAGGACAGCATTTCTCAGTTTGGTCATTGCAGAATTTTGCTCAAAGTACACCAGACTGCATTATTGGTGGGGGTTTTCTAGTGGAGGATATCTCAGCTTGGATGAACGACCATCACCTACTGCTTAACCTGGCAAAAACTGAACGTCTTGTCTTCCCTGCAACACCACACATACAACATGACTTCTCCATCCAGCTGGGATCATCCACCAATACCCCATGTAGTTCTTTAGGGAATCTTGGAGTGATCCTGGGTGATCAGTTGTCCTTCAAAGAGCACATTGCTAATGCCGCTCGATGTTGCACTCTTCAAATTAGACCCTTATTAGCAGATCATGCTGCGCAACTGTTAGTCCAAGCTCTTGTTATTTCAAGACTGGACTACACTCAAAAAAATATTTAACCCCAAAAGTTAAACTTTATGTAATTCAATTGGATGTCAATTTTCCATCCAATTTAATCACATAAATCCAACGTAAAAGTTAACATTAGTTTAAGCCTAACCCATTTATGTTCAGTTAACATGAATGAATTAAATAAATGTTATGATAACTGCTGAAATAGGTTTTATTCTTGTATAATACATAGACTTTACTCATTTCGAATACATTATTATTATTTGTTTTATATAATCACCTTTTATGTTCTTAGGTTTATTAAATAAATTCTCAACACAGATTAAATTTTTTAACATTTATTGTCCAATAACATCCAATCTGACAAAAACATACTGTAATGCAGTGCTTAACAAATAACTGCAATAGCTTTCTGGTTGTGACTTTTTAGTTTTGTGTGCCTACAAGTAACAGGCATCAACAAGGAAACATAATTCAACATCAAACATTAATTTCACATTTTCAAAGTTACATTGTCATGTTACCTCATAGTATGGTTAACAATGTTCTCTCCTGATCTATAACACAAAAGTAAATGATCCCTTCTTTTTCTAAATGTTTGTTAAAACAATTAACAATGACCCTTAACAATAAAATGACAATACAATAATGAAATAACACCTAAACACAAAATGCAATGAAATAAAATAAATTTAAAAAAAGCAATCATTTTACTTTACATATCTAAAGTTTGCATCACTTTTTAATACATATAACAGGTTTACAATTTTCAGCATTTAGAACAGCAAAACAAGTCCTACTCACAGCAGATGGGAATGCTGAATTCCCAAACTCCTCAGTCGTGGCTTTAAAGGAAAAGTTCACCTGAAAATGAGCATTTACTCACCTTTCACTTGTTTCAAACTTTTATTGTTTTTTTTCTTCTGTTGCACACAAAATAATATATTTTGAAGAAAGCTGGAAACCTTGACTTTCACTGTATTTGTTTTTCCTACAATTGAAGTTAATGTCAAAATATATTTTGTGTTCAATAGAAGAAAGAAATTCATAAAGGTTTGGAACCAATTGAGGGAGTGTAAATAGTGAGTATATTTTCATTTTTTACGTGAACTGTGCCTTTAAAACCTTAAAGTGGTGGAATAAGTAGCATTCCACTTTTGTTAAACTATTTTAGTCCTCTAAACCAGCATTTCAGAAGAACATAAAAACATGAAAAACTACTATTTTATAACACAAAAGTAAATGATCCCTTCTTTTTCTAAATGTTTGTTAAAACAATTAACAATGACCCTTAACAATGAAATGACAATACAATAATGAAATAACACCTAAACACAAAATGCAATGAAATAAAATAAATAAAAAGAAAAAGCAATCATTTTACTTTACATATCTAAAGTTTGTATGACTTTAATACATATAACAGGTCTACAATTTTCAGCATTTAGAACAGCAAAACAAGTCCTACTCGCAGCAGATGGGAATGCTGAATTCCCAAACTCCTCAGTCGTGGCTTTAAAGGAAAAGTTCACCTGAAAATGAGCATTTACTCACCTTTCACTTGTTTCAAACTTTTATTGTTTTTTTTCTTCTGTTGCACACAAAATAATATATTTTAAAGAAAGCTGGAAACCTTGACTTTCACTGTATTTGTTTTTCCTACAATTGAAGTTAATGTCAAAATATATTTTGTGTTCAATAGAAGAAAGAAATTCATAAAGGTTTGGAACCAATTGAGGGAGTGTAAATAGTGAGTATATTTTCATTTTTTTACGTGAACTGTCACTTTAAAACCTTAAAGTGGTTTAATAAGTAGCATTCCACTTTTGTTGAACTATTTTAGTCCTCTAAACCAGCATTTCAGAAGAACATAAAAACATGAAAAACTACTATTCTGAGGCTGGAGATGTAACCAAGACAGTCTTAATACATCTGGAAAAGAAGTAATCCGTTGGCTTCCTGGACGCAAAAGTAAAATGGGTAACATATCCTGTTTTAAAAGTTTCAGAGATTAAAAAAAAGAAAAGAAAGTGCAGTCCATGGCATACTGGAGTTAGTGTCATCAGTCGGTAGAAATATATCTTTTAGGGCATTCTTGTCTAAAGGTTTTCAATGTTGTTCCAGTTGAAGGCATGTAGGCAAACAGTGAATGTCCTATTCACTGAAACATTTTAATTTTAAGTGCTTGTACCTTTGGGGACAGCTTGCTGCCATCTAAGTTCATCAGTACCTTCTGAAAGAATTCAAATGTGAACTTGAGACCTTGAGGATAGCTTAAATTGAGAGCGTAGATCAGTCCAAAGAGAATTACTAATCCAAAGGAAATACTCTTTAGGTTCTCTAGCAGCGTTACACCCTCTATCACAACTCCAACATCACTTGGCTCCTCCTCAGCACCAGCACCTTCCTTGCGAATCACAAAAAGCCCCAGAGTGGTCTCAGAAATTCTTGCTTCTGCTTCTTTAGGGTTGCTATCCTAAAATAAACAAGTAAATAAATATTAAATAATTTAATAACAATAAATAAATAAAACATTAATACTTTTAAATTTCAGTTAAATACTGGCAACATCTAGACTGTCAATGTATGTTAGGTTCTTTAGACATATGTATACAAACCTCGAATTCTTTGACAACTGTTGTCATGTCCTCATTGAAGTACACACACAGACTCTGTATGACACAATCTCGCTTGATGTGTATGTCACCACACTGAAAATTAGACAAAATTATACAATATTAAAATATAAAACCAACATGGGGGTAAGATCACAAGACCAGTGATGCATTCCTGATGAGGAAACAACACCCCAGACCTGGAAATATATCCAGCACATAGATGAAGTTTCTGAACAAGTTTTGTTTCTGTTTGTAATGTAAATTTTTTGTGGCAATTATACATTTTTGAGTGTTTTATATGATGCAATGTTGACAAAGTGTAGGAATCTGCAGTTTTGTGTTTTAAAGAAAGTGATTTACAAAAACTGTTTTATTTGTCTGTATGGGTTGGAAGAAATGTGTGACACTGGAACCTGGTCAAAAATAGAACTATACTATAAATAGAAAATAAAACATTAAATTGAAGATATTAATCTGCTGCATTTTTGTGTTGTGCAATAATTGTTAAAATAACATTAATTTTGTATTCATTTGTGATTGTTATTTATTATTATTGGTAACATTGACTAATATAGTAACTATAGTGATTACTGTTAAATGTTAAATATGAAGTAAAACTTCCAGTAGGTTGGGACAAGCCTTAAAGCAAACCCTTTTCTTGTCACACACCTATTTGAGTTTCTTTCTTCTATTCTAAAAAAAATATTTAGAAGAATGCTGGTTGGTGGCAACGATTAACATGTTTTTTTTCTCCCAACTACGGAAGTCAATGTGTACCAATAACCAGCATTCTTCAAAATATCTTCTTTTGTGTTTAAAAGAATCTCCTAAAAGTTAAAAAAAACAAAAAAAACATGAGAGAGTAAATGATGAAGTCATTTTAATTTTGGGGTAAACTATCACATTAATGAGAGCTTCATTGAACCTCAGCTCATGATCTCAGCTTGTGAATATTTTGCATTTGTTGCTGACAAAACACTTTTCAAATGCATTAATGAGAATTGATAACTTGGCCCATATTTATATAAATATATTTAAAATAAAATTAATGTTACATCTTAAAACTTTTTAAGGCGGGTTTTCAGTTCAAGGATTTTGGTTTATACTCTGTTTCCACAAAAGCATACTGACATGCTCATCAAGGAGTTTACAGAGCATTAGATATGCTGCAAACTCATATGAAATGCGCGACATAGAGAGTGAAACTCATGTACTCAGAGTTTTAATGTATCTTTTAATGTAATGCAATTTACCACACCTTGTCTGCAACTGTCATGATGCGTGATATCTTCTGTCCAGAAGCACCTCCTTTGCCGCTGAAAACCTTCTGTAGATCAGCAGTGTATTTGTCCAGCTGCGCGAAAAACTTTGACAGAAGAGGCACAGTCGTTATCCTCATAAATTCTGCATTTATCTGAAAGAAATAAAGCAAAGGTAGATGATGAAATGTAGATGTATTGTGGAGAAATGAATTGAAATTTAGAAAATAATTGTGTAAATATCACCAACACTTACTTCATTGACTGTGAACAGGGCAGGCCATCTACTTTGTAAATCAGAAACCATTGGCAAGTCCTCAACCAACTCTTGTCGCCTATAGGAGAAGGTCAAGTGCATTTTTTCTTTTATGACTGCCTCATTATTATTTTTTTTCACTTCAGTTAAGAGAGCAATTCTTTCCTTCTCCATACTATCAGCTGTTTCTCCTCTTGGAAGGCAGGGAAGGAAATTCACCTCAGCCTTTTTTGGCTTTTTGATGTTTGATGCTGCTTTACCCCGACCTTCACGCTTGTTCCTAAGTGAATTTACAGTGATTTCTGGGTGTCCAATCTTGCTGAGTTTTGAGCGGAAATTAGCCATCTTTATCTTTAGATAGTGTTTCCATCCTTCATGACCAGTGCGAGTTCCCTTTTCCCTCAAGCAAGGGTGGACATTTATCAAGGCTTCAGCTGCCTGATCAAGCTGACTATCAGTGGGGTATGCAGCATACCTAAAGATCTCCTCAGCCATGCCTTCAAGAATGTCAGATCTTAATTTTGGTGGTGGAATAAGTAGCATTTCACTTTTGTTGAACTCTGTGTCAGCTCTCTGAAGCTGAATTTCAGCAGAACAAGAAAAACGAGGAATTACAAAAACCTGAGGCCAAGAACTGGTTCTTGACTCCGGAGACTTAATCAAGACAGTCTCGGTGCTGCTGGAAAATGAGTCCTCAGACAAGTAGACTTCTGAGACTGAGTCAAATTCACAAGGGCTAGCATGTCTTGTGTTAGGAGAGTCAGAGCTACAGGTTGTCTTGTGCAAAGGAACAAGAATGCTGGAACAGGACGGTACATCAGGTGCAGTCTCATGCATGCAGGAGTTAAAGTCATCAGTTGACAGAAAAATCACTTTCAGGGTATCCCTGTCTTCAATTTGAGTGGTTGATGTGAGATTCATGTATTCATTTCCAAAGTCCTTATCTTTGTACTGGAGCCTGAACTTTTGCTTTACACCAAAAACAGTCATTATTTCAAGGACAAGTTCATCCACAGACTTTGGGATTCCTGTCTTAAGTGCAAGCTTTCTTGCATCTTCATCCCCACCAAAAACAATCCTTAGATTGACTGGACTCGACATCTTTCTTTTTTCTATAAGAGGGTATGAAGCAGAATATGACAAAGTCAGTAATACAATTTTATTACTTATTTTACACAAAACACTTGATAAATACATTACCTTAAATGAGGATGTGCCTCTTCAGGGTCACCATTCGTCTTCCTCCTACCATATAATCATACAGTGGATAAGCATCCGTTAGCTGATCTAAATCAACCAGGGCAACCTCTCTATCAGGAGAGACAGTTAACTGAAAAGCTCTAAAATGTTCTTGATACCATGCACACAGTACCTTCACAACAAAATTCAGTCTGCTTTTGACAATAAAGATTTGAAGAATTTCAGCAAACTCTGGGAGCCCACCTGCTGACCCAAACGAAATCAGCATACCAGTTCTATAATTTATCCCATTGTTTGTCACATTTTTTGCCAGATGAACTTCATTAATCCCTGGATATTTCTGTCTTAAGCCTTCTACCACTTCCTTGTTTAAAATATCCACAGAAAGTGTGGAGACACTAGTAACTTCTAGTCTGGACTTCTTAAGGCTACAAGAATGGATCTGATAAGCGATCATTTGCTGGTGTTTGGCAGCCAGTGTGAGCGTTATGTTTTTAAAACAATTTGTGTGGCGAGCTACTTTCTTAAAGAAGCTATGTTTCGCCTCAAACCTCATAGTCCACAGCCCTACTAGAGGTCCAAAAAAACTGAATCATTTGTGGATAATGCTCCACATAATGATGTTTTGGTAACAGTTGTGCTGGAAAAAGTTCAACAAATCTGTGTCTGTGCTCTACAATTTTGCAGTTTAAGTAGGCTACTGTTTCTTCGTTATGAATAGGGGCTACAGCAAGTTCAACTATTTCTTTCAAATCAAGAAGTATGATCCAAGCAGGCTCAGTCTCTGGTATCAAGTCTCCAATGATGAATGGAAGCAATCTCATTAAATTCCAATTTTCATGTGCGTTACCTCCAATTGTCTTCTTGGAGGCATATGTATATGGAATAACGTGTGGTTTATTGGTTTTATCACCCCACTTATAAGGGAAGTTCAAAATCAATGAGTTTAGAGTATCAAGAGACAGGTACTTCTTGGAAACAAACTCTTTCAAGCAAAGTGCAAGTTCAAATGGTACAATACCCTCAAACAGGTCGTGTGCAATATCTGGTGGATAGCCTCTAGTAACATGAAAGTGAGATAAATTCTCTGTTAACACACAACCTCTTTTTACTCCACAAAATGCTACAGAGTTTTCTTTAGCAGATGCTACATGTGCATCATGAATTTCCTTTGTTCTAAGGGCAAAGTCGCCAGTCAGAACAGATTCAGCTTGAATCTCCAATCTCTTCCCTATGCAGAACCTGCAAAAGTACTCACCAGAGAAGCTTTCTATGAAGCCTGCTAAACTGTGGGCCCCTAAATTATCTGCAATGACAGACTGGACTGTACCTTTCACAAACCGTCCAAGCCCTGGAAGGTAGACACCTTGACTCTCTAAAGTAATCAATTCCTGTAAAAGGGGCTCCAAAATTGTACCATATCCATATGACTTTACATGTTCAGTCTTGCATAAAACTGCCAGATAGATAGATGAAAGTGTGGAGCTGCATCCAGGTGGCAAATTATTCAAAATCCAGTAGACCCCACAAAGTTTATGCTTTTTACGTGAAGTGCCTAAGGGGTTGCAGAGTTCAAAATCATCAATGTACAATGACAGTGATATTTTTAATTCCTCTCCACAAAAAAATGTGTTTTCCTTGCAATAAAGTCCATCTCTGATTGACCTATACTGCTGTTCTTTGTCTGCCCCTGAATCAGTTTTTTGCTTCTCGTGGTCCCCAATAACACACTGTAAAATATCACTGCAACTAAACAACAGCTGAAGAGAAGGCAAAATTGGTATATACTGATAGGTTTTTCGACTTTTTTGATTAAGGATAAACTCAATAGGCTCTACAACTGTTACATGTTCTTTGTAGAATTGCTTCCGCTTGAAAGCAGTGGCAAGGGGACCACCTTTTTCTATGGCTTTAACCAAGGGATTTGACCTGCCTGCTGCTTCAGAAAGCTCTTGAATGACAAATTCATCAATTTCTAAGTTGTGATTTTTAAAAATGTCAGAAATTATGCTACAAGTGACTTGATTTGATGCTGAAGTTAATGAATAATGTAGTTCCTGAAGTAATTCATCAACTGCGGTGGCTGGGACATGCAAAATGTTTTCCAACTTTAATAAAACAAGGGCAATATTAAGAACACTTCCCTTAAAAACATCTTCATCAGTATTAGCATCATTGCATGACTCTAACACAGATTCTGTTGAACATGTGGGTAAATCAATGGGAGAACTGGCTGACTCTTGACAGTCTGCAGTGACTGTGACAACAGTTAATTTAAAGTCAGTTAGACAATGTGGATTGTGCTTCCTATTTTTGTGTGTATGAAATGTGTTATAAATGTTACTTTTAAATGTACACTCTTTAAATACACAAGTCACAGTTTCATGTTTACGCAGATGTTCATTTAGATGACTAAAGTAATCTCTTTCATTTGACTCAATGCATGTACACAGCTGACATGAAAATGTAGCTAACTGATTTTGTTTTGAAGATGACTGATCAACGTGTGCACGGTATATATGACTTAAAAGGTTATTCCATGATTTAAATGTGCAAGGACATGTATTGTATACACAAGGATGCCTGAACCTTGCCCCAAAATGTCCATGTTTGAGCTTAGAATGTTTCAATAACTCATACCTACTGGATACTTCTGTGCCACACACTTTACATTGCCACATTCTCAAGACTCACATATCTAAAAGTAAAACATGTGAGTGTGAGAAAAGTAACAATTTTACAAAATAAAACAAGATATATATATATATATATATATATATATATATATATATATATATATATATATATATATATATATATATATATATAAATAAATAAAAACACTTACTGTAATTGAGTGATTGTCCCAAACTGGAGACAATGTGGAATGTCACAACGATGAGATCTCTGAAATGGTAAAAATTACATATAATTAGAGTTTTGTAATGAAATTACATTTTTTTAAATAAAAAAAAATTGCACTATCAACTAACTTTTACATACACAATATGTTTTAAATAAGCATTTACAAGTAGGCTAGCTGCTAACGTTAACGTTACATTTTTCACTTCCAGTACACGACTTTAGTATGACATAATCCAACAATCTTGTACATGCAACTTTCAAATAATGTCGAGTTTGTACAACGCTTCGTCATATTTTTAAAGCATAAAAATGCAAAATATAAAGTTACGTGGAGATTGCTAACATTAACAGTTAACGTTAATCTATTATTATTAAGTTACGTTACAAGTGCAGTCTTCCTAAGATGAATATAGTAGACCATATATAGCTTAAAGTGACCCAAATTGCAGATAGGTGATAACAGATTAATATATTTTACTAGAAAGGATAATTTTACTAGAAATTATAAAGTTTAACGTGTTCTAACCATAGACTGTAAAAATAGTCAACGTGCTTGCAAAGTGAATTACGTCGAAATGATGCAGATTTTTTTTTTGTTTTGTTTTTTAAATCATGCAAGCAATCTGCTTCACTGAAAAAGGATACACATAACTTACTCAAACGATGGTTAATTTTAAAAATGCAAGTGACTGCCCAAAATATCCAATGTCAGTTAATTCGCCATGTGACGATGAATCAATATCGATCGCATAAAAGAATCACGTCTTAAAATAGTTTACACATCAATCACAAATGAAGAAAATATCTTACCTTGTATACTCTCCCGATCAGATCTTCACTGTCACTTCTCTGCTACCGTTGTCTTCCTCGCGCTTAGCCCGCCGGCTAGCCCGCCTTCAGTGTTCCTAACCGATGCGCAAGCCCGTCCTGGCGCCTTCAGTGTTCCTAACCGATGCGCATGCCCGTCCTGGCGCCTTCAGTGTTTTTAAATTACGCGCATGCGCAACCTCTGCATTCGCTCTTTACGGCAACCAATTAAGTATAGTTTATGTAATTTGAGCAGGTTTGTTTCGAGTCCATTAAATTCATGTTGAGACAGCATAATTTGAAACAATAATAGTTATTTTTTACTTTTTTAAACAAACTCTATTTAAATTGTTTGCTTAATTTCAATTACAGGCAAGAATCATTTTTTTGAGTGTACTGCACTGCTCTTCCAGCTGGACTCCCATCCATTAAGCCTCTACAGATGTTCCAGAACGCTGCAGTTTCTCCAGTCTTCAATGAGTGCCAGTGTACCACCTCTCCTTATCTCATCTACCTCTAGCTAAAACAACTCCTACTCCAGCTCTAAATTCTCTGAGCACGAACAAGTTACTTTGAATAACCAGCACTTCTCGTGTGCATTGCCTCTTCTTGTTGAATCACTGAATGCCTTCTCAATTGTAGGTCGCAAAATCATCTGCTAAGAGTGTTAACTATACACCCTAGCCTAAGACAGACTGTACAAGTGCTTTCACATAAGACAGAGCTGTATTGTGCAAGATATTGAAGTATGTAAGCATGAGAAAGCAGGTAAAGGTTGTTTTCCTTGTGAGATGGTGCATGTGGTCAAGCCAACTCACCTGTTTACAGCCATACAGCAATGCCCTACTGATGAGACGCCCCCCTAATCTGTCTGTTGCATTGTCTGTCTATAAGCATCATGAGTGTGTGACGAGCGCTGAGTTCCTGAGGTCGCTACGTGTGCAGAAGCAGGGTGACTGTCCTCCAGCGCAGCGGGCGTCAGGCTTCGCTGCAGCCTGTGTGGAGAGCTGTGCGCGGGACCGCGAGTGCTCGGGGGTAAAGAAGTGCTGCTCAAACGGATGCGGACACACCTGCCAGTCTCCAGCCAACCTGTTCAAAGGTAAAACACACTGCAGAGCACGGCTGCATGATACTGGGGAATTTCAATAAAGGTATTTATGTAATGATCATACTAAAAGAAACAGGTGAAATATGCATGAGCTCATTTAAATACATATAATTATCATTTAAATAAGCTCAATATTATTCGCCCCTTTAAGCTATATTTGTTTTGGAAAGTCTACAGAACAAACCATCGTTATACAATAACTTGCCTAATTACCCTAACCTGCCTAGTTACCCTAATTACCCTAGTGAAGCCTTTACATGTCACTTTAAGCTGTATAGAAGTGTCTTGAAGAATATCTAGTCTAATATTATTTACTGTCATCATGACAAAGAGGAAATAAATCAGTTATTAGAGATGAGTTATTAACACTGTTATGATCAGACATGTGCTGGAGAAATCTGCTCTCCGCTACACAGACATTGAGGAATAAAATAAGCAGGGGGGTGAATAATTCTGACTTCAGCTGTATGAAGTAATGTTATCTTACAAGATTTGGATTAATACATTAAATTGGATTATTATTACTCCATGTTTATAGATATTTTTTTAATATATATTTGAAGTTTTGCGTTAAAGCTCAATTGTAAATGTGTGTTCTGAGTTTGTCGCCCCACAGTAAAACAGATGTGTTACTGTATTCACCACACAGCCAAATTTGAATAGTCATAAAAAAGCAAGGTAAATTAGAGTAGCTTTTACAATCTTGAAATAAATCAGCCCGGGCTGTCAGTGGTTTAGGGCAGGGCTATCAGTTCTTTGGGCTGAGCGGGACAATAATTAATTTTAGGTGGGGGAGATCAGTCTGTTATGGTGGCACTAGCAGTCTTTAGGCTGGGGCTCTGCCTTCATCCATCAGTCAGTTTTCCTTCATTTCACTTCAAGTGATCCAATTCAAGTCATGCTTGAGCCTACATCATTTGTTTAAAGTTCAGGACCGTTTCCAGTGGATGTACATCACAATAGAGGAACAGGACAGTCCTAACTTGCGTTTCATAAAGCATATGTGTGGGGACTGATCCTGATCAGCAGATTCATCCCAATAGTGCAAAAGCAGCGACTACTCAGCTGCGAAGAACTTTAAAAGCCATGCATATGCATTAAACATGGATGTTCCTAATCTCCAACATCTTTGCTTCTCTTTGACCCAAATGTAATTCACAGCTGTGTCTTCTGTTGTTTGCGTACGGCAGGAATTAAACACTCAGCGAGGGTTTTATCCACTGTTGTATTTCTTACCTGATTAGCTGATTTATCTCCAGACGCCCTGGCCAAACACACTTCAGTTGATTCATCATCGTTGTTGTTTTTTCTGCTCAGGGGTCCCGCTGAAGCCAAGAAGAGACATTTCCTTTTCAGAGGACCATCAGGGACATGTGAAGGTGACATGGATGTCTAAGTTTAACGTCTCCGTCGAGCCGGTGCTTTATGTCCTGCAGAGGAGGTGGAATCATGGGATTCACCCCAGTGAGGACGAAGCGTCGGCCTGGCAGACAGTTCTCATGGTAAACGGTCACGGACACAAGGCTCTGATTAAGATGAAGAGTTTAGTTTATTCAGCGTAAGTGCGTGTGGGTTTGCGGAAGAACCCACTGTTACACATAACTCCTCAAAGCTCTTTCCAATGTCTCTTCCATAACTCCGTTCAGCTTTAGCAGATGTGTGTTCAAGCGAACGGCCACATACGCACTGATTTGTGTTCATTAGCAGGCGGTCTGTAATTGGAAGTGTTTATAATCTACATGCCAAGTTGTCTCCACATGCGGCCTTGGATTTAGCCAATACTTTAAATAAACTGTTCTTACAGGAAATATTAATGAAAGCGCACACTTTCATGAACACTTCATTTCTTCTGAATGTGCACTTAATGGACTTTAAAACACAAATTCATTCATTTTCCTTCAGCTTAATGTCTTATTTATCAGGGTTCACCACCGCAGAATGAACCGCCAACTATTTCAGCATATAAAACATGTAAAACATTTTTTTTTATTAGAATATGAAAAGATTATACAAATACAAGAAAACATCAACAAATAACAAATACAAAGCAACGAAACAAAAACAAAACAAAAATCCCAAGGGCTACACCAACTACTACTACAGAAAGTTACTTATATTACAACTACTACTGCTTCTACTACAGCCACAACCACGACTACTGCTTCTAACGTGTCTACTAATATAGATACTACTACAACGACTACCACTACTGATACTACTATAGCGTTTGCTACAACTAATACAACAATGTCTACTGCGACTACTACTACTACTACCACAATCACTTCTACTACATCTACATCAACAACATCTACTACTGATATCACTACACCAACAACAACTACTACTACTACTGTAACAACCACACCATTACTACTTCTGCTACTACGATACCAATGACATCTACTACTACATGAACTACTACTTCAATAATCTCCATAACAATTACTCAATAACAATCGATACTATTACAATGACTACTACTTCAACTACTACTACTACAACTACTACTACTACTACTACTACAACTACTACCGCTACAACTACAAAAACTGCAACCTTAATAATTATAATGGTATAAATACTTGTAATAATGATAATGAAAAGATAACCGGACAAGTCAGAACAGTAATAATAATAATGATAACAAAAAATAAAAGTAATACCATTTATGACAAAGGTGTCGAGGAAAGGGGAGGATGAGAAATCAGGGAGAGGACAAGTAATAATAATAATAATAATAATAATGATAATAAATAATAATAATAGTAGTAAGTAGAAGGGGTAAGAGAGGAAAAGAAAAAATAAACTAATAATAATAAACAAAAATTAATAAAATAATAATAATAAAAATAAATAAATAAAATAAAAAAATTAAAAAAACAGAAACGGAAGGGAGTAGTCGAAGAAATAGAAAAGAAACAAAAAGAGTGAAAAAATAAAATAAAATAAAATAAATAAAGTTCAGCAAACAAAGAAATGAGAGAAAGTAAAAAAAATGAATAATAATAATAAAAACTAAATAAATAAAAAGGAAAACACTATCAATGCTAATTATGAATAATACAAACCCACATGGAGGAATAATATTAAAGATATGTATGATAGATTATTAACTTGATAACTATAATATACTCATGCTGGTAATAATAATACTAATAATAATGATAATAATAAAAACAACAACAGCTGTAACAATAAATTGAGGAGGTTGTAGTTGTGTGATGGGCATTGAGGTATATAGTGTTTGTCAGTTGCTTTGTGATGCATTAAAATAAAAGTGTAACGTGTGGCATGGATCAGTCCAGTGCAGTGCCCAGGCTGCCATGCCCACGTTACACTTTACCCTGTGAATTTAGTACGTATAAGTAGTTTTTTTTTTCCTTTTTTCCTTTTTCCCTCTCTTTTTTATGTAAAACATTTTAAGCAACTAACACTACTAGCATAATAGACTACTTATTAGCTCTGTATTAATAGTCAGTTGAGTTTAGGATTAGGGATGCAGAATGAGATCGTACTTTATAACTACTAATGAACAGTTCATATCTTAATAACAGCAGGTCATAAGTGCTCCCTTTACATTTAAAAACATCCTTCTGTCTTACTCTTTACTCAAAAAATGCAGAGTATTTATTTCTTTAGCAGAAATTCAGTGCATTAACATTAAATGAATGATCATCAAATCCAAAACAATCTGACTCAAATGAGTGTTTCTCTATGAGCAGAGCTTAAAGTAACTGCTCTCCTCCAGAGACATTGAAAGAAACAGGGAGCTCATTGTGCCGCTGCTGAGCTCCCGGTGGGATCCGTGATGTAATGGATAGGGACGTGTGAGCTGTGCTTTTCAACAGGCCTTTATAGCCAGATCTCCCTGCACTGGATCAAGCTGTCATTACCGAGCCTCTTATCAGCATACAGCAGTGATGGAGCTCTTCCATCCCGCATTAGGAGCGGATTTCTCTTAATTAAAGTCTCTCTTCTCCCAGACCATGGAGGACCGCTCGGTGTTGAAGGACATCCGGCCTCATAGGTGGTACCAGTTTCGAGTGAGCGCCGTCAACAGTCAGGGCACGAGGGGCTTCACCACTCCCAGCAAGCATTTCTTCTCTGTGCGAGGTACAGCAAAACTCTTTCATTTCTGAAGGGAACGTCTGTGTATTTGCTCCACTACTGTAGTTATCAGATGATAGAAGCTATTTCAATTCGGCTTCCTGGTAGACATGCGCTATTTAAAACTCCATATTCAACACAGATGTCTACTTACAGTGGCTTTTTCCACCCTCATCCTCATTTCAGTAGCCTAAAAGTACCATGAAACTAGATGCATAGTTTGGGTTTTATTATACTCTTGCTCGAACATGGAAGTTAAACAGTAAAATAATAAATAAGTGTAGTCTTTTATGGTTAAAAATGTAAGCCCCCCTGCTCCTGATGTGTGTTGTGGATGTATTATAGACCAAAATGTAATTATAGTCGACAAATGGGGCTGATAGACATGCAATTACTGATGTGTTTGAGTAGTTTTAACGTATATTAAAACACAGGCAGGAATTAAATGCCTGTTTACATTCACTCCAGAACAATTACAGTAAGAGCTGAGTGATATACATGATTAATAACCATGCATTAAACACTACATAACAATAAATCAAACTATATCAAATAAATAATAAATCTCAGCATCTACAGTTGAATTATTCGCCCCCCTGTTTATTATTTTCCCCCAATGTCTGTGTAGCGGAGAGCAGATTTCTCCAGCACATGTCTGATCATAACAGTGTTAATAACTCATCTCTAATAACTGATTTATTTCCTCTTTGTCATGATGACAGTAAATAATATTAGACTAGATATTCTTCAAGCCACTTCTATACAGCTTAAAGGGACATGTAAAGGCTTCACTAGGGTAATTAGGGTAACTAGGCAGGTTAGGGTAATTAGGCAAGTTATTGTATAACGATGGTTTGTTCTGTAGACTATCCAAAACAAATATAGCTTAAAGGGGTGAATATTGGAGAATATTGGTTTATTGGAGTAGTCGGGCAAGCAATGGTCAACACAGGTGCCAACACACGTATGAAGGCAAATCCAGAATCATAATCACTATAACAGGTGAGAGGGCAACAGGAAACAAGAATACAAGGCTAGGGTAAACACACAGAAACGTGTTGTAATGTCACTATACAGATGAACAAGACTCAGCCACAGTGAGTGTTTCTGTGTTGTTTGTGTAGTGCAGCAACCAGTCCAGAAGCAGCTTCAGCTGCGGGAGTCTAATCAGTGGAGGCTTGGAGCAGGTGTGTGTGTGTGTGTGTGTGTGTGTGTGTGTGTGTGTGTGTGTGTGGGGCATGACTGAATATGTAGTCCATAACATGGCAGATTTGTAGTCCTATAAGTGTGAATGTTTTCCAGCGACCTCTTGTGGTTAGAGATCGCTGGTGATCATGACACAATGTAAACAGCCAATGGGTTAAGCAAAGTCTTATTTCAAAGCGAAAACAATATTATGTTGCTTGTTTTGACTCTTAATTAAACAGCCCACAATACACTCCTCTGCTGTCTGTCCTGTACAGTGAACTCGCCTTTACACACTTTGATTTGTGCACATTTTCCAGAATCTGCTTGTCTTGACATCTCCACTCAGCGTCTTTTTCTTTTCTTTCACAACACAGTCATTCCCCACCATTTGATCACACTATTAAAGCTTATTTTATCTATACATTCATTTTAAAACTGACAGCAGCATAATAAACTAAAATAAAATGTGTTAAAGTAGATTTATGCAGTATATCTGCTTTAAACAATAAACAAAACTCAACAATGAGCATTACTGGTGCCATTACAGACTCATGTCAAGAGCACCGACACAACCCCATACCATTACACACCCTGGCTTTTGCATTTGTTGCTGGAAACAGTCTGGATGATCCTTTTCTTTTTTGGTCCAGAGCACACAGCATCCATTTGCCCCCAAAATACCTGAAATGCTGATTAATCTGTGTCCTCACAGCAAGAAAGTCGCCGGTTCGAGTCCTGGCTGGATCAGTTGGCATTTCTGTTCTCCCCGTGTTCGGTTGGGTGTGCTCCAGTTTCCCCCACAGTCTAAAGACATGCGCTATAGGTGAACTGGATCAACAACTTTGTGTGCGTGTGAATGCGAGAGTGTATGGGTGTTTTCCAGTACTGGGTTGCAGCTGGAAGGGCATCCACTGTGTTAAACATATAAGTTGTTGGCGGTTCATTCCGCTGAGGTGACACCTGATAAATAAGGCACTAAGCTGAAGTAATACTAATGAATGTGTTTCAATGGTAGCTCAAGCACATGTTCATTATCAGATAAGTGTATCCTACTCAGTTCTCCTATTCAGTGCGCATCTTGCAGTCTCCATCAAGCATTTTTGAATGCGATATGTGCATTAAAATAGGTGCACGGAAACATATAAGGTGTTTCATTTCTCCAGCAGTCAGTCCACATCACTTTCTAGATGAGCTGTTCAGAGTTTTGTTAACACCCCACTCTGTGCTGTGTGTCTGTGACATAGTGCAGTGCGGAGAGTGTGTGAATCCCCTCAGGATGAAGCAGAGACCGCATCAGTGCCGTCAGCCGCCTCTGGAAAACCACTCTGCCATAAAGGCCAGAAATCCTCCGACTGAGGGCTTGCAGACACCCGCACACTCACCCGCACACAAACACAACACCTCCAGCACTGGGCTTCTGGCCTGCCTGCGCTCCCCATGTCAGATCTGAAACATGTTTCGAATCATACAGAATAAGCTTTTCCATGGATGCGGAAAACTTCCTCCAGGGCAACATAGAGAATCGACCTCAGCAACAGATTTAAACCTGGGCTTTTGGTTTTGGATGCATCTGAGCAGTCTTTTCTTGGTCTTTGTACCAATGTGTTTAATTTCAGATCTGTAATGCTCTCTGATCTGAGTGATACGGCTCATATCGTTCGGGACCTCTGGGGTGCTTGCGTTGGCATGCTTCGAGTGTAAGCCCAGCTCAACACCACGGCCAGGATATAATTACACACAGACTGAGGCAACGCTCAACCCACTGCCAACAATGACTGGAATCAAACCTTCTGCTATTTTGAAAGATTACAAACTGCTGGAGAGCGCGTGCTAAACTGAGCGAGAGGAAAACGAGTGTTAGAAATATCTGACATCTTCCACCGATGGCCTGGAAGTGCCATCCATTCAATGTCCAATCAATCTCCAGTGTCCAAGAGTCCTACAGAACGCATTGACACATAAGCACAAAACATTTACATGGAACATGCTGGAGGACTTTCGAGAAAAATGTAGCATGTGGATTTCTTTGACGGCTATTTTCTGCTGTATTTTATTCCTTTAGAGAATCTTACATCATTACAAACGATAATGCATCACAGACTCGTTGTGAAAACGCAGCCCCGCAGTTCTGGAGAGCATGAGTTATGTAGCCAGAAATGTGGCTGCATTTCGTCTTGTAAACGAACGCTACGTGGTGGTAAGAAGCCACCGACGGCTTCTGTTTCTGTTCACGCTTACCAGCTGACCGCTTACCTTCATGTGGACAGCTGTTATCAGATTGCTCTGTAGTTTGTCAGGTATATACGTGAACTTGAGCTGCAGAGAGGAGTTGACAGCAGGGTTCAAGCCTGGCAAAAACGGTTCCAGAAAGCAGGTGAAACAAAAAATAAGACAAAAAATAAAATGAACCAGTAAATAACAGGGTGAGAACATGGTAAGGGCTGCTGCAAGGGCTTTCTTATTTTGGATTGCTTTTGTAAACACTATCGGTTGGGTTTTGGAAGGAGGGTGATCGCTTCAATCATTGCTTTTGAAAACACTATCGGTTGGGTTTGGAAAGAGGGTGACCGGGTCAATCGGTGCTTTTAAAACACTATTGGTTGGGTTTAGGCAGGGGTTTCTAAACTTGGTCCTGGGGGGCTGGTGTCTTGCAGATTTTACCTCCAACTTGCTTCAACACAACTGCAAGGATGTTTCTAGAAAGCCTAGTGAGAGCTAGATTAGCAAGCCCAGGTGTGTCTGATTGGGGGTTGGAACTAAACTTTGCAGGGCACCGGCCCCCCAGGACTGAGTTTGGAAATCCCTGGGTTAAGGGAAGGAGGTGATCAGGTCAATCGGTGCTTTTGAAAACACTGTCAATTGGGTTTAGGGTAGGTTGTGATCGGGTCAATCTGAGCTTAATTTTACACTTAACCCAATAATAAAATGTACTTCTATGCCTCGACTGGGTCAGTTGGTTTCTGTGTGGAGTTTGCATGTTCTCCCCGTATTGGCGTGGGTTTCCTCCGGGTGCTCCGGTTTCCCCCACAGTCCAGACACATGCAGTACAGGTGAATTGGGTTGACTAAATTGTCTGTAGTGTATGTGTGTGAATGAGAGTATATGGTTGTTTCCCAGTGATGGGTTGCAGCTGGAAGGGCATCCACTGCATAAAAACATGTGCTCTAAAAGTTAGCGGTTCATTTCTCTGTGGCAACCAGAGATTACTAAGACACTCTTCTGTGGCTTGCAGTGGTGAAGCTGTTGGAGGACAGGGGGGTCCGAGGGTGCAGGGGTCGAACTGAGAATGTGTGAGGTCAAAGGTCGAGCGCGTAGCCACTGTTGCTGGAGGGACACCTGCAGATGAAGGATCCCGTGTGACTTAATGGCTCTCAGAACAAATGCAAAGTGACAGTCTGTGCTAGTGAACTGGCCATTATGAGCTTTGTTTGGTTGCTGCCCTGCAGTCTGAAATGAAGCCGGCTTGAATGAAAGCCACAGATGAAACTTCAGAAAGACACCCCACAGGCATGATATTACCATAAACTGACATATCAAAGCGTCTTTACTCTGTCATGCTCAATGCAAATGAAAGCACACTGATTGGCCTCTGAGGTAAAGCAGCTGGACTTTGGCTGTAATTGCAAACAGAGCGTGTGCTGTAGGCTAGATCTACACTAATCCAGATTCATTCCAAAGCAGCGCTTTTGTCTAAAAACACTGCATGTGCACAACATCGTTTTCAATTCCTTCAGAAAAATATCAACATAGGCTCATCCTATGTACCCCTAAAAAAAATGTACCCCTCTATACATTTCTGAAGATCGCAAAATATGTATCCAGAGGAACATATGGCTGCATTTCATCTTTAAAATAAACACTATGTGGCGGTATGACACCGTTCCTTTGCACGCCTACCAGCTGACCGCTTACCTCTGTGGACAGCTTTTCTGCTGTTACCAGTTTGTCCAGTATCTCGTCGCATACATTGGAGGATTTTTGATGCAGAGTGAAGTTGATTGCGATGACGGGGTTTGAGTTTGCCGAAGAACAGCTTCAGAAAGCAGGTAATAGAAAAACAGAAGCCAAGAAATAAAATAAACAAGTAAATAACAGTGTGAATGTGACAAAATCTGAAAACGTAGTAAAGATCAGGCTGCCGAGATCCAGGGCTTTTCTTTTTTTTTTGTTGCTTTTCAGAACAATATCTTTTGGAATTCGGGAAGATGGCACTGGTCAATCGGTGCTATTTAACACACTATTGGTTGGATTTAGGGAAGAAGGAGGATGAGGATTAACAGTTGGTCAGTCAGTCAGTCCACAGCGGCCAGGATTTACACAAGAACAGCAGGCTCGAATGGCAATCTTGAGAGAAATTTGATATGTCAAAAAGTGTATAGAGCTCCTGGACATTTTTGGCACTCTCCAGAAATATATATAGGGGTACGTTTTTTAGAATATGAGTTTCCTCATCTCAGCTCATGCACTTACAGGCACACACGGTCAATTCGGGGAGATATAAAACACACATAAATTATTTAAACGCAAAACCGAGAAAACCGCCATTCACAAGTGCGTATTGACAGTCAGGAATATATATATACTGTTTTACCGTGTAGGTCGAACTGTACGGTTTAATTTTATATTGAGAACCGTTGCATCCCTAGTGTGGACATGTTTTGAAAACTGAATGAATTGCATTCCTTGTCAGGTGAAGTCGAACCTCGAACCAGCGACCTTCTTTTTGTGAGACCACAGCACTACCTACTGCGCCACTGCTTCACCCAATTTTTTAAATATCCAATTGTTAATTCAACTTTTATGCTAGAGGGTTGTGTATTGTTTGAAAAAACAGTTTGTAAATAATATATATAAATATGAATGAAGCTATATTATAGGTTTGGTAAAGACCTCCCTTCAGAAACTGATCTAATCAATATTCCTCTCACCTCTACATAACTGCCATTGCTTGTTGTAACAGATTGAAGGTATCGTGCTGCTGTTAACAAGCTCGATCACAGTCAGGAATAAATATATACTGTTTTTAAAGTTCTGGTGGGAGTGCTTACAGGAAAATCAGCCTCAGACCCAATGTTATGTCTACACTCGTGTTCTGTCTGGATTATTTGCGCATCAGTGGCAGTGGTCAAGTGTGGCAGTGGACACTATCCACATCTGTCATTACCACACACACACACACACACACACACACACACACACACACACACACACACACACACACACACACACACACACACACACTTTTAACTGGTGTCTGGAAAACCTCTCTTTGCCACATCAACAGAGACATGCACTCAAAACATTCGCCTCACCTCTCTGAGCACTGTATTAATCTCTCTCTCTCTCTCTCTCTCTCTCTCTGTCTCTCTCTTTATTTTAACTTTGGGAAAGTATTTGTACATCTTTCAGTGAAAAGTTTTCTGTGAGAGTTTCTATTTTTGGTTTAAATGGGTTTAAATGGCAACTCCTGGATTTTGTTTTAGGGCAGGCTAAACTGGCTATTTATATTAGCAGGAAAAATAAGGTTGAAAGGTTGTCTGGGGAAGATGTGGTGGTAACGTTTGTAAATGTGGCGAACTCACGAGAGCCGATTGACCTTTGTTTTTATAAATGTACAGTAGATTTATTGAGATTGACGTCACCCATTTAAAGTGAATGGGAAGCGTTGACGCTGACGCCGCGTGTGAATGAGACGATAGTCCTTGTGTGCTGTTCAGATTGACCACTCGCTCTTACGTTGGTGTTTTTGTCTCATTGACTTCCATTTTAATCACATTTGTTGATTGCAAAGCCATGGCAGCAGATAATCCTGCATTCTTGACTGTTGCTGGTTTTTCCTGTTGGGAAGAGATTAAATGTGCATTTTGTACAGTTGATCATCATCTGATAGGCCTGTGCAATAATGTTTTTGGATTTGATATGGAGGTCAGTTTATTATAGAGTGTGTGCGGTAATACACTTGCTGTGTTTACTGTGCTCTGAGATCTGTTTTGATTCTCTCAGATATATCAGGATAAGTGCACAAAGGTCTCTCTCACACGCACGCACCCACACACAGTACTCTATAGAGAAGGCGGAAACTAAAGCACTGCAACTGATGGTCAACATTAAATATTGCTGTACGTCTTCCCAACAGCATCAAGCAGGTATGCATGATTATATCCTGACATGCCTTTACAATCAAGAAATGATATTATAAGGGGAGTTAATTGGGCAAAAACAGCCCCAAACATAATGAAAGCGTAGTAAATTCGCCCAGAGTGTATTGTTGATTTTTTTAAATTATTATTTAAAGCATTTCCCCAAAATGTGTATCAAAATAAGATCCAAAAATCACTCCATTTGCTGAAACATCAAGAAAGTTGTGGCCAAATTAAGACTTAAGATCAGCCCAGAGTGGATGAAAATGCCCCGACAGCACACAGACGGTTTTGAGCAATGCAGCCCTGAGATGTTTCCTCAGTGGTTCACCTCAGGTCATGTCGGGTGAAGTTACACAAATAAGCTGTGATGTAAAGCAGCGGTCTGACAGAAGCACCTTCACTTCATCTCTGTTTCAGATCCGCTTCCCCCAGAGACCCCACAGAACGCCAGGACGGCCAACCAGACGCTCCACCCTGACGGCACAGTGAGTGTTCTGGTCCTGTGGGAGACCCCCCGCGAGAGCGACCTGGTGGTTCACCATCACAAGGTGACCTGGAGCCCTCGAGGAACACCCTCCAGCAGCCAGAGCCGGGCGGGAAGGGTCACGGACGGGGTAAGATCCTGCAAAATACTGCACATACTTTTACAGCTCTGCTAAACTGCAAGCCTGTAGGGGGCTGCGCTCAGTGTTTATCTATGTGGAAAGTTCATCTCAGAAGAATGAATGCGAAAATTAAGCCAGACCGAGGCTTGCGGATGGTGGCCAAAATCTGGTTGAGGCTGTCGAGGTTAGAGAACGGTTTTTACCTTTCTCTCATAAAGCTGAACCTGAACCCGTAGAGAGGGGAGAAATTTCCCCGAGTTGTTTTTCTTGGGTTTGTCGGAGCTGGAATGTCAGACCCAGGAAGTGCTAAATCTGCAGCTGAGTTGAACATCTGAGCGTGTGTTTTGACTGGTCAGCCTTGGCCAGGTGTTGGACTCGTGTGCTCCACCTGTGAAACAGTAAAACGCTCCAGCCCGTACAAAGTGGCTTTCCCACCACAACAAGCGCAAAATAAAGGCGCAGCTGGCCGAGTGATCCGCATGTTTTATTGTCGTCCGTGTGCTCTTCTGAAAGCCGCAGCTCTCAAATGGTTTTGATTAGGTAATTTGTTTTTACAATGCAATAACCTCCGGGTCTGAGAAAGCAATCTATTTTATTGAACAGTAGCCTATGAAGGCCTATTTGGGCTGACAGATTTTTGTTCGCAGAACGGATCACTGCGAGCGATTAAGAGTTATTGAGAGTAATAGAAAATGTCAGATCATTTTCAAAACCGCCTGGAATTAAGAATTCCTGCAATCCAAAAAACACAACTTAGCTGAAACTAAATGCACGGCGGCCCTCTCTGTGTGCTGTTGTGCAGTTTAGGATTGACAAAAGTGTGGCTGGTTTAAGACAGAAACACTATTTGTCTTCTAGTTGTGCAGAAACTGTTCAGTGTGAAAGACTACAGTAATATAGGACGAGTACACACGTGAATTTGAGCATGCAAGATTTACATATATTATTACACGAATATGGGGCGATGCAGTGGTGCAGTTGGTAGTGCTGTCACCTTACAGCACGAAGATCGCTGGTTTGAACCTCAGCTGGGTCAGTTGGTGTTTCTGTGTGGAGTTTGCATGTTCTCCCCGTGTTGGCGTGGGTTTCCTCTGGGTGCTCCGGTTTACAGTCTAAACACATGCGCTATAGGGGAACTGAGTAGGCTAAATTGTCCGTAGTCTATGAGTGTGAATGAGTGTGTGTGGGTGTTTCCCAGAGATGGGTTGCAGCTGGAAGTGCATCCATTGCGTAAAACATATGCTGGATAAGTTGGCAGGTCATTCCACTGTGGCGACCCCTGATTAATAAAGGGACTAAGCTGACAAGATAATGAATGTCTATGAAAATGAAAAATGAATAATGAATAAAATGAAAAATCTCCTCATGTTCCGGTGGGTTTGCACTGCTCTAGTTTCCACTACAGTCCAAACACATGCCTTAAAAGTGAATTAAATTAACTATCGTGAAGATTGAGAGACTGTATGGGTGTTTCCCAGTTCTTTGCAACTGGAAGGCCTTCCATTGTGCATTTTATGTGTAAAACATATGCCAGAGTAGTTGGTGGTTCATTCAGCCGTGGCAACCCCTGATAAATCAGAGATTTAATGAATGAATCAATGAATAATCGCTGATATGTTCCTGTAAATATCATTAATGTGAAAAGGAACAAATGTTTCTGTTGACATCAGGGCCGGAGCAAGCTGAACTGCCGCTCTAGGCAGAGGACGATCACGCCGCCCTCAACCCCAATGTGAAAACGAAAGTGACTGGTTATGAAAATGAAGTGAGGTGTCGCGGACCTCTTTTCCAGCACACTATGCGCGGATATAACTGAGGACGCGCGGGTGCTGAGGGAGGGAGGGAGGTGTCGCGGACACTGCGCTCTCAATTCTGCCGCCCTATGCGTGGATATAACTGAGGACATGCGGGTGCTGATGCAGGTGTCGCTGACGCCGCTTTCTCTATTCTGTCGTCTATGCGCGAATATATTTAAGGATGCGGGTGGTGAGGGAGGTGTCGCGGACATAACTGAGGACGCGGGTGGTGAGGGAGGTGTCGCGGATGCCGCCCTCTCTATACTGCCGCCCTAGGCGGCTGCCTAGGTTGCCTCTATGGACGTGCCGGCCCTGGGTGACATACTGCCCCCTAGTGTTTAGTTTTAGTTGTGGTCAAATGTATGTTTCAGTCGTGGTAAGCAGTTTCACAATAATATGGTCTGGAGCATGTTTGTCTAATAAGCCAGTGTTGCTAAATTAAAGTGTAAAAAGGGTCTGAAATGTAATGAGCGAGGCCACTTTTTATCAGTTCGTGAAGTTTCTTTATAAACAAATTTCGAGAGGAGCCTGTGCTTTTGATTGTTCTCAGCTGTTCCAGCAGATGATTCCTAACTCACTATAAATAACCAGATCTCAATATGTTCCTCTTGAAGAACCCATCAACTCCCCCCCAGAAGTGGTTTCAGGTCAGAAGTGTCTCTATGAAAGGTGAAGGCCTCTAGATTTTGCTGGTTTGAGCTCAATAAATCTGATCATGTGTTGATGTTGACTGATTTGATGAGGACAGTGCGGTCTGACTCTGCTCAGACTAAAGTCTCATCACTGAACAGAAATAATGTCCAGTATAGAATATAAAGTCCTGCTGCAGTGGAGACAGAATGAAGATTGTGTCTGACTCCATCATGAGCTTGGAGGACTGCATCCATACATCTCTGCACTGACTCAAATCACTCATGACAAGACTTTGGCCAAGTACTGTATATGTCTGAAAGAGAAGCAAGAGATACACGTGTAAAGTGCTAAGTGTTGTCTACACAGAGACGTGTGTGATGAAAGGTTAGCGGGCTGAGCACTGAACCCTGAGGCACTCCAGCTGTTAGTTGATGTTGCTTTCTCATAACTCCATGAAAGCTTGAAGGGAAATAAACTTTAAAGAAAAGTAAAGTAGACAAGAGGATTAATGTTGATTAATTGAGCGTCATCTCATAGGATATGTGATCTGGAGGGGATTATCAGCCACAGAGTTGTAATGGCAAAGTGTCTGTGGTTGCCATTCAATGGGTTGTTCTGTGACAGAAAGTTAGGAAGACTGACAAATGGAGCTTTTATAATATCAGCCCATGTTGTCTACTGAAATACAGGTGTAATGCATGTTATGGTCAATTCTCTCAGGACTCGGTGAGGTTGCTAGCATTAATGTTCTATAACAGTTCCTGCAATCTATCAGCTGTTGTCGAGCTTGCAGTTAGCAGCAGTTTGTCTTAAATGAAAGACCCATGTGAAATGACTTGTATTTCTGCCTATAATTTATCTAATACGTTTTTTGATCTCAGCTGACTGACCTGATGCAACATAACCATGTGTTTAGCTGATAAATGGAGTGTACGCTTGGCTAAAGAGATGGGTTCGTAGTCTAGACGTAATCTGCAAAGTGTGTCTGAATCCCGAACAATGCTGGGAAAGCTCCTCTGGAGTTTCAGTGCCAAATAGGAAAAGGATCGGCCTCCTGCAGAGGATTGTGATATTTGTGGTGTTATAAGATGGCCGGGATGAACAAGATGGACTATAGAGTGATTTGAGCCTGCTTGTGTTCACAGAACACCCGTCCAGGATTGCATTAAAATGATCAGGTGCTGAGGTCATCATAGATCACTTCAGCTTTTGAAAAATGATCATTCTGATGCTGAGAAATAATACTAAAATCCTGAACTTTAAAACACAACTGTGACCCATTTCTCATGAGGTAAGCATCAGTACAGGGAAAACCCGGCTCCATATGTCCTGAAGACCAGAAGAAAAGCAGAGGAGCCAACACTGAGAGACGGCACTCAATATTTTAATAAGTGATTTATTTACATTTGTAAATTGACAATGGTAAACAGGATTTATATAATGAAAATGTGAGCAAACACTCCAGAATATCTAACAGAATATCTGGTAATCAAACATTTAAGAATGAACAACATTTCTGCAGCATTTATTAATCAAATTTAATGTTCATTTCAATGTTTTCTAATGCATTACCAAAATTAGGCACAGCAAGAAGGTCGCTGGTTTGAGTCTCGGCTGGGTCAGCTGGGGTTTCTGGGTGGAGTTTGCATGTTCTCCCTGCGTTCGCGTGGGTTGCCTCCGGGTGCTCCGGTTTCCCACACAGTCCAAACACATGCGCTATAGGGGAACTGGGTAGGCTAAATTGTCCACAGTGTATGAGTGTGAATGAGTATGTATGGATGTTTCCCAAAGATGGGTTGCAGGTGGAACGGCATCCGCTGCCTAAAACATGCGCTGGATAAGTTGATGGTTCATTCTGCTGTGGTGACCCCAGATTAATAAAGGGACTAAGCTGAAAAGAAAATGACTCTGTCTTTATTCAATTTCTGTTTAGTTTGATTGTCTTTAATTTGATTAAATGAATCAAAAATCTTTGTTTACATAGTAGACTGAATCAGAATATTGTCTTGATCATATTAAAATCGGATTTTTGCTGTCTATGTAAATGTACTTATTGAAGTGCAGTACAGACATGTAAACGCAGCAATCAAACTATTATCATCATCTCAAAGGAAATTCACAGCATTTTGCGACAGGATAGTCTATACCAGGGGTCACCAATCTCGTAAAGTGTAGAATCTATATTTTATGCACATATCTGCATCACTTTGGTTTTTATTCTACTGTACAAATGTTATTCACACTTAAATACACAGTATTTTGGATCCCCGAGCTGGGTATTGAGCATTGGTTCATTTCCATATTTTTCATATGACACATGTACAGGTTATAGCTCAAATGAAAGCTCTTGCCGGTGCTCATACGGTTCTAGCGTTCTTTTTACTGAATTATATTCACATATCAAACAGTTGCTGAATGAATCTCTGTGTTTCCATGGTGCAGAAGTGAAAACAATACATTTATGATCAATAAGCAGCCCCAGATAGCACAGACAGCTGTCATCTCTTACCTTATGCTGTGCGCTTCAGGGCCATTCTCCTCTGTTTTTGAGCTGATGTGCATAAGTAATCCTTTTATATGTCTGACGTGCTCCAAACACAGTGAATTATGTTTGATCAAACAAAAGAATAGTGAAATATGAACACAATGATCATCCCTGTGTGTACAGCACCTCTCATCAGCTGGAACACAATAACTTCTGCATAGATTATGGTGGAGACATTTCTCTTTTGTCCTATGATTACAGACATGTGCAGGAGCCACCAACATTAATTACAGCACACTAGACCACACACAACCTAAAAGATACACTGTCAAATACAAAAAAAAAAAATACAAAAGCGCCTCTTTTTTTAGGCGTTTATTATAACACGTACAACATATCCAGATATTTTAAAGACTTTCAATAGTGTTATATGAAAACTCAAAGGGTTTTCTTTACAATGAGACCAAATCTTCGCATTTACACCTCTGCATGTGGATTTGGGAAGCTTTTAAGTTGGGTAGGAAAAATCCAGGTGGAAATCCCAAAATAACAGCAGAGTTACTACATAGTGCAAAACCTGAAGATTAGGGATGCGCTGGTCTGAAAATAGCAGCAAATCGTGCCAAACACATCCTGCACCTTATTGCGCCGGGTGTATGATGAGCCTCTATATTTGCTTTTGTTTTCTATTGCATAACTTCTATTTCTCCATGATTTAGATTCTTATTGTTAGCATTATTTTTATTATTGTTGTTATTTTAAAGGTCATGAGTGGTTGCGTAAGTATTTCTCTGCATATCACACTGTGCATGCCTCTGTGGATGTTTTGAAGTTGATTATGGATGATGAGTGACTTTTCCATTTTGGCTAAACTATCCCTTTAATTGCCTGGATTCCTATTGAAGTAGCAGGATTTCCCCCACAAGTGTAAATATCCTCTTCACAATAGCAATACTGATACCTTGTGTTTGTGTCCTCAGGATGTAACACAGATGGAGCTTCAGGGTCTCCAGCCCAACACCCCCTACACCGCTCAGATTCAGGCCATCTCTTACTGGGGTCAGAATCGGCTGAAGAGCAGCCGAGCTCACATCTCCTTCACCACCACCAGCCAAAACTCTGCAAGTGAGCTCCGCTTTCACTTCTACAGGTTTAGCAGAATGATTTACATGAGCATTTGGAAAGTTCCAACTATGAAAGCTTATTCCGTCAGTTTTTGCTAAGTATGAATTGAAAAGGGTGTAAATGAAGGGGTGTCAGGAATAAAGTATTTGCTCTCTTTAAAAGGTCTGACTCGGGCCTCCTCCTCGTAGCATGAATCAGTGGTGCCGCTGATAATTGCAGCACAGCAGAGCCATGCAAAACACACAAAACCTCCTTTGGCGCTGAGAGTGTTTAGTCAGAAATGTTGTCCTCTTACAGTGATTTTGGCACGTGAGATGGTGAGGTTAACCTTTCCCAGAGGCAGCACATGTATCAGCATGCAGAGCTCATCTGAGTCAGGGTTTGACCTGCTTTAGTCTCCTCTACAGGACAGCTGTTAGCCCGGGTCAAGTTCTTCACCTCTAGAAAGACCCTCTCTGCTGTCTACTTGTCATTTCTGACTATTACACTGGGTTATAAATCAGCGATTTTACAAACAGATGCCAGAAACAGAGTGAAGAGATGTGTGAGATTGGAAAGCTCTGTGCTGGCTCTGTTCAGTTGTTTATCTGGGGCACGAATGGCACGCTGGGATCTTTTTTAGTTTTGCTTTCCAACAGTTTTTCCACTTTCTTACCCATTTCATGTCTTCAGTATTTCCCCCTCTGGTTTTATCAGGCCTCTGTTATTTCTCTTGAGGTCTCTGAAACACCACATCAGTTATAAACTATCTCGATATTCCCGTACAGTAATGTACTGCAGACATCCTAATGCCGGACCCAAGATGTCATTAGTCACACTCGATGAACGAGGAAGAATTGTCATTGAAACAGAAACGAATATAATTCAAAACATCACTGTTTGTCATTTACTGTAGGAGTTCTTATCTCATTCAGTGCAATCTAAGGTTGTAATATCTTTATGTGCTGATGTCAATTAAACACACAGCATATCTTCATCTAGATATTTGTTTTCTCTAAGCAGATGCGCTGTTCAACAAATAACTTTGCTTCCTCCATTCCCTCAAGAATAAGATCCTGAGAGATTTCTCAGGTATTTCATCACAGTCTCGCACTTTGCTTGTGTTTGCCAAGATCAGAAGTTAAAGCCTTTAATATGAACTCAAGCATTTCTCATAGTCGTCCTCCAAGATCAAATTACCTGGGCAATGCTGTCCTCGTTGATTTTATAGTTCTGTACTCTGCGCAGCAATTGTCTTTTGTCCATTTATTAAATGAGAAACATCTGTGGCTCGAATGAAACTTGATTATTAGACCCCTGTTACATATTCTGAGCTCTGAAGTGAAACGACACATCGATTCACTGATGCATTGGCTGGCAGCTATATAGCTCTCTGCTACTCTCACATGGTCGCCTACTGAAGCTAAGCAGGGCTGAGCCTGGTCTGTACCTAGATGGGAGACCACACGGGAAAGCTAGGATGCTGCTGGAAATGGTGTTAGTGAGGCCAGCAGGGGGCGCCCAACCTGTGGTCTGTGTGGCTTCTAATGCCTCAGTATAGTGACGGGGACTCTACACTGTTCAGTGAGCGCCGTCTTTCAGATGAGACGTTAAACTGAGCTCCTGACTCTCTGTGGTTGTTAAAAATCCCAGGATGTCCTTGGTAAAAGTGTAGGGGTTTAACCCCGGCATCCTGGCCAAATCTGCCCACTGATCCACAATCTGTCCATCATGGCCTCCTAACCCTCCCCATATCATAACTGGCTTCATCAGTCTGTCTCCTCTCCACCAATCAGCTGCTGTGTGGTGTGTGTTCTGCCGTCACCTCATCCAGGTGGATGCTGCACACTGCTGCTGGATGAGGAGATCCCCCCATTGTGTAAAGCGCTTTGACTGCCCAGAAAAGCACTGTATAAATGTAAGGAATTATTATTATTATATATTTAATAAAAGTGATGTTTATGCAAATTCACATGACATTCCCCTCAGCAAAGTGGATGAAATGTTTGCGTTTGAGTTGGAAGTCACATGTCATCTTTTTTCCAACATCATGTTTCGTGCAGTGCTGTTACATTATGCATTTGGCCGATGATGTTTTTCAAGCATCATTCATCTTTTTGTTGTTTTCGGCACAGTTTTAATAGCATGTCGCTGATTAGCAAAGACAATAGCTGACAGGTTGGACATTTCTAATTAGAAAGAGTCACCTTATGTATAAGCTTTTGACAGGTGTGACAAATCCTGTAAACGAAGAACGCTCTCTAAAATGGAAATGTTGTTTTGGAAACATTTATTTTCATAAATAAACAAAATGCAATGAATGAAGAAAAGAGAAATCAAAATTGAGTCAAACTGACGAGGAAAATAAACGAAGAATCCATAATGGTCACATCTGGTGTAGATTAAATTAACCGATGTGGAACTAGTTTAGCTTTTAGCATTTCTAAAGCAACCTAAATACATGTACAGTAGGTGAAAACAGGTCAAAATTGCTTTACTGAAACAACTGCAGCTCACCGAAATGTAACCGAAAGATTTGGTCAGCTGAGAAAGTGGTTTAAGAAAAGTTGTGTTCTTTCAAATAACAAATATTTGGCAAATAAATCTGCTCTCTCATTCTAGCGTCCTCCAATGGAGAGTTCTCCAATGAGCTCCCCGTTTCCCACTCGTCTCCCAGTGTCCTGAGGCTGGAAGCGGCCGCACCTCATTATCACGACAACCAGCTGCAGGTCAAGGTCTTCTGGAAGAGCCGAGTCCAAGGCAAGTGAAGCCGCTTTCTTCAGCATCGTACAGCGCATGAGGCAAAGGGGTATTACTGAGGTCATCTGAAGTTTGCATCTCAGCGAAAATTGTCTCCCGACAAAAAACACACACATGACTTCACACCGGTCACGCAAAGCGAATCTGTTTGTTGACGATCCATCGGATCCATGTGTGTGTCCTCAAACAAGGCACTGCCAGAGCAACAGCATGACTAATGATTTATGGAAGAACTTTACCAAAGATAAATATTATCAATCCCGCATGAGCAGGCAATCTCGCAGGGATGCCCTCTCTAGACTCTCTCCAACAGATTATTCACAATCTGCTTAGGTACTGTGTTCCAGAAATGCACATTTGGCGGCCTTCAAAGGGAAGATTCCAGCGAAACCGCAAGCACCCATAAATGCAGGGTGTTGATTTACTGTTATCTCCTGGAAAGAAAGGCACGAGGAGTGATTTAATAATGCCGGTACGAGCGTGAAATCAAGAACAGATGATGGGGGATGACGACCTGACGCGGCTTCGAAAAAAGATGTCATGTTGCTTGTGTACAGAACAGAAATCTGGCAGCAGAATTAAAATATGGGCGTAATGCCTCCGCGGACACAGCAATGAGGATGGGAGAAGGTGTAACCTGCAACATCGTGTCTTGTGTTTGCTTGCAGAAAGCCAGAAGGACTCCAGTTCATATATTCTGAGATGGTATCCTGAGGTTTGTTCCCATAATGTGACGAAAGATGAGAAAACGGCGACAGTTCAGGTGTGTCTTCTTGATTTTAGGAGTTTTTAACAGGGGCCACTGTCTTAAAATTATATATATATATAGAGCTGAAGGCAGAATTATTCGCCCCCCTGTTTATTTTATTCCTCAATGTCTGTGTAGCGGAGAGCAGACTTCTCCAGCACATGTCTAATCATAACAGTGTTAATAACTCATCTCTAATAACTGATTTATTTCCTCTTTGTCATGATGACAGTAAATAATATTAGACTAGATATTCTTCAAGACACTTCTATACAGCTTAAAGTGACATGTAAAGGCTTCACTAGGGTAATTAGGGTAACTAGGCAGGTTAGGGTAATTAGGCAAGTTATTGTATAACGATGGTTTGTTCTGTAGACTATCCAAAACAAATATAGCTTAAAGGGGCGAATAATATTGAGCTTAAAATGCTGTTTAAACTATTGATTATACTGCAAATTATCCTGCTTTTATTCTAGCCTAAATATAAAAATATAGAATAATATACATATATTATATTATTCATGTTCATATATTATTCATGTAAAATGTGAAAAAAATGCTACCCAGGCTCACTATGGACACGTACGCAGGTCTACATTTCTGGGTGCATCGACTTACATAAGTGGAGGTACATCAGGTTTTGTTTTTGGAGATCCACTAGAGGCCGCTGTGTTTGCTCTTTGATGATCTTAAATTTCTCTCCTGCATCCCCTTCTCACATAAATCCACAAGAGGGCGCAATATACACTTCAGTCGATCAGGGGTGTGTTTCCCAAAACTATCGTTAGCTAACTAATGCTGTTCACATCAGACGCAACAGGGGCGACAAGCGCGAGTGATTTACATGTTAAGTCAATGCAAACGCGCGAATAGACATCCTGCGGTGCGATACGTGTGAATGGCGTGGCACAAATGGCGCAATACACGTAAATGGCATGGCGCGAATTGTGCGAATGGCACAATAGTTGAGCGTTTTGCACGTTTGAGGCGCTTAACGCTCATTTCGCCACATTAACCAATCAGGAGCTTGCTCTTGTGGGGGCGTGATTGTGACGCTGAAAGCCTCCGTCATCCGGGTTGAGTTTCTGGAGGAGTTTATGAGCTCATAGAGCTGGATGCACCACTGAAAGGATCTAGTGGACTCAGACACGGCCCTAAACGTGTCTATGCTGTTTTTCATGAAGCACATAAACACTGTTATTTTCTCCATGTTAGAAATTTAGCCACAAAGCTAGAGTCACCGGGCAGACAGAAGCCCCGCCCATCACGCGAATCCACGTCTGTTCTGAAGCAAATTTGACATGCGAATGAAGCGGATTTGACGCACAAATGAAGCGAGTAAACTCAAATGTTTACAAGGCTATTTACACGAGAATAGCCGCGTGTTAGATTTATCCGCAAGTTCTGCGTTTGGTGTGAACACAGCTTAAGGTTGCAAGTTCCTTGTTACAAACGTAGTTTGTTGATTTGCAAAAATAAAACATCATTGAAAACTAAAATCACATTTTTTTTTTTAAAGTATGCCAGAAAATAATTCTGATTCTCATTAATTCATTTTCCTGTCGGCTTAGTCCCTTTATTAATCCGGGGTCGCCACAGCGGAATGAACCGCCAACTTATCCAGCAAGTTTTTACGCAACAGATGCCCTTCCAGCCGCAACCCATCTCTGGGAAACACCCACACACACACACTCATACACTACGGACAATTTAGCCTACCCAATTCACCTGTATATATATATATACATATATAATAAACCAAAATCGAGTGTAGTAGTGCAACAGAATGTTTGTTTAATTTTATTTCGTAAAGCAACAATGCTGTGTGTGCATTAAAAGCCATAATTACTTCACCAGTCATTATTGACAACAGTACAAACACGCTCGACCGTTGGGCAGAGGGGCAGTCAAAGGGTTAATCCCTTGTAATGGACCTTCCTAACATGAAAGGTCGTGACTGACCAATCAGAATCAAGTATTCCAGAAAGCCATGCAGTACATTACTCTGTCTGTGTCTCCGTGGTGATTTCTTCATGGTGAAATGGCTGGGAATAAAGTTTTTATGACATATAATAAAATAGAAACAGCACAGAAAAAAGAGTTTGACTCGCGTCTTCTCACATGTCAGATGGCAATAGTGAAGAGATGATGTCACTGCCAAACCTGTGCGTGACCCTCCAATGTACCCTGAGCGTGGCGTTCCTGCATCTGACTTCTTTATGCAGCTGAATAGTGTAGCGGAGAATGGCAGCGCTCTATCTGTCATCACCGGCTCTGGACACAATAGAAACGTGCAACCGAGTCTCAGTATGATATCATTATGATGCAGATGGGGCTTATCTGCTGCATTTTCCAGAGCCTTCAGTGTGGTTCTCATTTCATATTATTCTCGACAGAAAAGATGTAATAACTCTGTGCTGTTCTCTGCTTGTTTTAAAGGGAACACATTATGTGATTACCGGCCTGCTGTTTGCCTGTAAGTACCGTGTGGCAGTGAAGCCCGTTGCAGAGCAGAGGTCAGAGGTCACGACTTCGGTGACCACCCCACTTTGCTTATCGCTAATGGGGAGACGGAAAAAACCCGCTGCCTGCGCCAGAGAGGGTAAGATGACATCTAGCACATCCAGACAGCTGTATTGAGATCTAAATCCCAGAGAAATGATGACGCCCAGATTTAATTCAAGCTAAATAGTCCAGTCAATTACTGTGTCTGAATATTGTACCTATGAAAGTGTTTATAACTGTGATTTCAGCTGGTTGAAACTAGCATAATTTAAACACTCAATAATAAAATGACAAAATCTATTTAGAAGAATACTGGGAATTGTCAGAATTAAATATATCAGGAAAAAAGATCCTTAAAATACACCGTATGACAAAAATTGCTGAAGGGATGGGACGCACAGCTGAGGTCAGAATTATTCACCCCCCTGTTTATTTTCTCCTTAATGTCTGTGAAGCGGAGAGCAGATTTCTCCAGCACATGTCTAATCATAACAGTGTTAATAACTCATCTCTAATAACTGATTTATTTCCTCTTTGTCATGATGACAGTAAATAATATTAGACTAGATATTCTTCAAGTCTATTGACTAGAAGACTAGTACTTTACCATAGTTTTTATTTAATTTAATTTTTTTATTTACCCTAAAACTGATCCTCAAAACATGCATCTCTCTTTTTTTTTAATCTATCTGGAAATGTTTGGAATATTAATATACTTTATCAGTCATAGCGGTGCAATATTTTGTCCTAGAGCGCCACCCTCAGTTGAAGAAAGCCCTGCGGAGGCCTGAGAAGCTGGCAGTGCTGTTTCAGCCGGTGAACGGCTCCCTGCAGGCGCTTTTCAGCTGGCAGCTTTCACCTGAGAGCTCCGGTCAGACGCCCAGCTCCGGATTCCAGTTCTCCTGGGTCAAAGTGTCCAGCGGCAGCAGCAACGGCTCACTGATCTCGCAAACACACATCCTGCCACCGGTGAGAACCACAAACACAACACCAGCTTCAATACACCAGATTCAACCAGTAGCATCTGGATGCAGCCTTTATGATGCAAGCTGAGACTGCATCACTCAGCGATGCAATGTCAGACACAGTGCACTGAATGGAGTGAGTGACGTCACTGTGAGGGGCGGGGTTAGGTGAGCGCATTAACCTGAACCACACTGTTCCAGTTACTATGACCATTTATGTGAACCTGCTTTGACACAATCTACATTGTAAAAGCGCTGTACAAATAAAGCTGAATTGAATTGAATTGAATTAAAAAGCATTGGATGTGGCCCAGATTGCACTGCACCAGGTCTGCAGCCAGACCCCTCTCAATTCAACAGAGAGATCTTTTTTTAAGTGACACTTATGAATGTCAAAATACCTTTTTCATATTCACGTCCACAGGGGAAGAACATATTCAAAATCATTATTAATCACAATGTATTTTTCCTTTAATTATTATTATCTGGATTGCGGTTCTCAGATTTGTGAGTGAGTATCCTGCAGATGTAAGCTATGAATATGCAATTATCCTTTCAGAAATTAGCTCAAAAAATAGTCACAATTCTGTCTACACAAAATATTTGACAAAACTTTGTATCTGACAATTTTGGCTGATTTGATGGATCATTTTTAAAGTGACTTTTATAATGTTTAAAGCGTTTTATTTTTAAATATTGGATTAATTTTAATTTAAATTTGATTTAAATTAATTAATTTTTATTCTGGGCGAGGCAGTGGCGCAGTAGGTAGTGCTGTCGCCTCACAGCAAGAAGGTCGCTGATTCGAGCCTCAGCTCAGTTGGTGTTTCTGTGTGGAGTTTGCATGTTCTCCCTGCGTTCGCATGGGTTTCCTCCGGGTGCTCCGGTTTCCCCCACAGTCCAAACACATGCGCTATAGGTGAATTGGGTAGGCTAAATTGTCTGATGTGTATGACTGAATGAGTGTGTGTGGATGTTTCCCAGAGATGGGTTGCAGCTGGAAGGGCATCCGCTGCGTAAAAACTTGCTGGATAAGTTGGCGGTTCATTCCGCTGTGGCGACCCTGGATTAATAAAGGGACTAAGCCGACAAGAAAATGAATGAATGAATGAATTTTTATTCTCAGAATTGCATTTTAAGTTGGAAACCTGAAACAGGGAGTTAAAGTTGTGGGAGAAAGCCAAATAGATACACTGAGAAAATAAGCCAGAACTGAAGACAGATTCAACTCTCATCCTTTAAAGAGTTCACTGGACAATTCAGCTTATGTCTTGCAATTTCTACTTATTCTTCTGAGCATGAGTTTACATTCATAGTTCTGTGGATAACATTTTAATCTTTCAGTTCTAAAGGAAAATGACTATATACTATATGCATATCTCACAATTCATACTTGTCTTATCTCAGAGAAATGTTTAGAAATTAAATGAATATTGTGAGAATTGTTTGATGTTGTATTGTTCTTCGAGAGAAATCTTATTCCTTTTATATTTGGCTGGAATAAAAAATCAATACGGTGTGGTGAACACTATTAGCCCTCTTTAAACAGAGTAAAGCAAAGCCCTGTTGTCCAATGACTTGCCTATGAACCTGGTTAAGTATTTAAAGGGACAGTTCACCCAAAACTGTCAAGCCTGTCATGGTTTACTCTCTCTCCACTTGTCACTTGTGTTTTTTAGACAATATTTTGAAAAATGCTGAAAGCCTGTAACTGATAATTGATTTGTTTTTCTATGGAAGGCAGTTACAGGTTTCCAACATGTCTCGAAATGTCTTCTTTAGTGTTCAACGGAAACTCACTTGAACAGTCAATTAAACTTCTGGGGTGAACTGTCCTATTAAATTGCACTTTAAGCTGAATACAACTGTCTTCAAAAATAACTAGTCAATTCATATGCACTTTGATCACGGTCAAGTATTTATATATTAAAACTGTTACATTTAGAATTCCTCTAAACAGCTAATTGAAAAATATTCATTCATTCATTTTCGGCTTAGTCCCTTTATTAATCTGGGGTCGCCACAGCGGAATGAACCGCCAACTCATCCAGCAAGTTTTTAAGCAGAGGATGCCCTTTCAGCTGCAACCCATCTCTGGGAAACACCCACACACACACTCATTCACACTCATACACTACAGACGATTTAGCCTACCCAATTCCCCTACAGCGCATGTGTTTGGACTGTGGGGGAAACCGGAGCACCCGGACCTGTCATGAAAATGCAGAGTTGCAGAAACAGGATTCCACACTAGTGCATGTTTCACCTCTGAATAAGTGACTGTTGTGTCCCTCAGGATCAGCTGTCGCTCACTGTAGATGCACTTCAGCCGTCCAGTGTGTACAGAGTTCAGGTGCAGGTTCTGTCTGAAGCCGGAAATGGACCGTCGGTGGCCAAAACCCTCCACACTCCTGCTTTAAACAGCACCATCCACTGAGGTAAGACACTGACAACGCTCGACACTGCATGGTGAAATATCCCTAAATCAGCCGTTTTCCATACTTTTGGCATTCATGGTTTCATTTTTGGGGTGGCTCAGTGGTTAGCACTGTCGCATTACAGCAGGAAGGTCTCTGGTTTGAGTCTCGGCTGGGTCAGTTGGTGTTTCTGTGTGGAGTTTGCATGTTCTCCCCGTGTTGGTGTGGGTTTCCTCCGGGTGCTCCCCCACAGTCCAAACACATGCGCTATAGGGGAACTGATCAACTACACTGGCCGTATATGTGTGTGAATGGGTTTGTATGGGTGTTTTTCCGGCTGAAAAGGCATCCGCTGAATAAAACAAATGCTGGAATATTGGCGGTTCATTCTGCTGTGGCGACCTCTGAAATAGAAGCCAAAGGAAAATGAAGGATTTTAATTGTTTAACTGATTTTATTATGTTTATTTTTATTTTCCCCTGTTTTTTATTTGCATTCTGAGATTCTGATCTTTCTTCCATCAACTGTTAACCATGAAAAGTTTGTAAAAGTGACTTTTTTGAGTGTGTGTAATAGTTTGCAGTGCTATATTTTCTGGGTCGGTGTTGAATATTATGCTACAAAACATTGTAGTAAACTGCTTGTACATTTTCCCTTACTTTTTTAGACTTATTTCTCTAGATATATTAATATTTCACACGACTAAAATGTCAACAAAAGTCACTTTGTTAAACTGGAGTTGAATTTTCATCATCTAAAGTCGACAGAGCAGAGATCAACATCCCATAATGCAACTCACGACTGTAAATAAACTGAAAATAATGGAGAATCCTAAAATACTGAAATATTTTTACGCTGTATAATATACTCCACATGCAGTCTTGAAGGAAGGACATGCAAGGTAACGAGTTACATTTGTGTCATTAATTTGACATAAAAGAGTAAATATTAAATAAAATGTTGAAATGATGAACATTTAAAATAAGATGAAAACTGATAGAATAATTCATAATTAATGGAATAAAATAATGACTATAATCTGATCATTTTGCTTTAATTTGTACTTCAAATACATGCTTGTTGTGCATCATTTTGCACTTTTATCATTATCATTAAAAATACTTATGTTTTTACGGATGTCAGACAAATGTTGAAACAAAATGCAAGAACAGAGCAAGTCAAACTGATATTAAGCGTTTCAAAAGAACTGTACCAGCCTTTATTCAAACCCACTATCCCTGCATGTTAGTCAGGAGCCCTCACCGCTCCACTAAACCACTTCAATCCTGCAAAGTGGGGTTTAATATCTCAGTTTGCTCAACTGTTCTTTGCTGAAGCTGTTCAAGAGCAATACACGAAAATGACCACTAGGTGTCCCTGTAGAGAGGGGTTTCAGACGTTTCTAAGCTTCAACACATTTGCTTTGACTGTTTCAGTGTTGGGAGAAGCAGTGGCGCAGTAGGTAGTGCTGTCGCCTCACAGCAGGAAGGTCGCTGGGTCACTGGTTTGAACCTCGGCTCAGTTGGTGTTTCTTTGTGGAGTTTGCATGTTCTCCCTGCGTTCGCGTGGGTTTCCTCCGGGTGCTCCGGTTTCCCCCAAAGTCCAAACACATGCGGCACAGGTGAATTGGGTAGGCTAAATTGTCCGTAGTGTATGAGTGTGTGTGTATGTGTGTGTGTGGATGTTTCCCAGAGATGGGTTGCAGCTGGAAGGGCATCCGCTGCATAAAAACTTGCTGGATAAGCTGGCGGTTCATTCTGCTGTGGCGACCCCGGATTAATAAAGGGACTAAGCCAACAAGAAAATGAATGAATGAGTGTTTCAGTGTTTCATGAAGCCTCGCCACTAGAGCAAACAGATGTATCAGGGCAATCGAGAGTCGTAGTCAGAATAACAGGCTGATGGTCAGAAGGCAGCAGGAATACACAGATAAACAAGGAGAGGATCAAAACACGGCAAAGCAAAACGCGTTAGTGTCACTAAAACAGTAGACAAGACTCAGCAACAACAGTGTGTTAGTGTGCTGTATTCAGCCTGAGCAGCTTCAGCTGTGTGTTAGCAGTCACTGGTGACTTGGAGCAGGTGTGTGTGTGTGCTGCATGACGGACTTGTAGTTCATGTGAATGTGAGTGTTTACCAGCGATCTCTGGATGTCAGAGAATTCAGCATAGTTTCATGTAAACAACCCAAAACCATAACCCACATCCCTTAACCATATGTAGTGAATTAATATTAGTTAAATGAATAGTTACACTTAAAATAAAGCACAAGCGTAACAAATGTCAGTAATACATGTCTTATTGATTTGCTGTTTTTAACAGATGGCTGAAAGATGAGGAACCGTGATGAGATGCTCGTGATGTTTCTGATTTGGACGAATCCTAAATCTCCTACATGACTATGACAGCGCTCCTCATCCTCTCCTGTCTGTTGTCATGGAGACGCTGTGACGGGACCAGGCCACGCCCACCGGAGCCGCTGATCACTGCAGATAACGGCAGTGTGCTGTAACACATGAACATTGAATATCCACTCCATGTTTTCTTATGTACAAATGCGTAGCACTGATGTATGTAGTATCTGCATAGTTATGCGTCCTGTTACTTTATTGACACGTATGTTTGTACTCAATGGGCCTCATTTATGAAACACAAGCAGTATGAGTTTCCGTCTCAGTTGGTTTGCATGTGAAATCAGTAAATCAGTTATGCTCTTGTTTCATAAATAAAGACTATAAAGAACTGTTATAATCACCAGAATCATTCACCTTCCTCTGAATTTTGATTTATTGTTTAAATATTCCCCAGATGATGTTGAACAGGTTGAGGAAATGTTCACAGTGTGTCTGATAATGTTTGTTCTTCTGGAGAAAGTCTGATTTGTTTTATTTGGGCTAGAATAAAAGCAGTTTTTAATTGTTTAAACAGCATTTTAAGCTCAATATTATATAAGTAAAAACATATTAGACTGTAAAAGCGATTAATAGGGCCAGGCAGAATCTGCAGGCATGTTTGCTATATATTACACATGGAAAATCTGCAGATTTATGCGGAATGATTTCTGGAATATTATAACGAAAAACTAAATATATGTGGAATTTAAAAATGTTTATTTTTTACCATTCATTTAATGTGTGCAATGCAAATCCAATTAGATCCACTTCTTTGGTAAACTCTTTTGGCAGGATATATATAATATATCTACTAAAGCAGTGTTTCTCAACCACGTTCCTGGAAGACGACATGTTTCGGACGTCTCCTTTGTCTGTCATACCCATTCCAGGTCTTTCAGTCTCTGCTAACGAGCTGATGATCTGAATTAGGTGTGTTTGGTTAAGGAGACAAGGAAAATGTGCAGGGCTGGTTATCCACCAGGAACATGGTTGAGAAACACTGATCTAAAGGATAGAACATATTATTTTACAAACTGTATAGTAAATAAATCACATGATAATAATAATTCATTCATTCATTTTCTTTTTGGCGTAGTTTTGGCTTTATTAATCTGGGCCCACCACAGCGGAAGGAACCGCCAACTTTGAACATTTTCATATTTGTCAATAATATTACTGAAACTAATTTAAAAACTGAATAAATGTGCATGTACACACATTTATAGACCTAAATATATAGACGTAATTATGGGCTAGAAATGAGCAGATCTCTGCATGTGAGGATTTCGTGTGGGTCTAGTTGGTCCTGGAAGGCCGGTGTCCTGCAGATTTCAGTTCCAAGCCCAGTTAAACACACCTGAAGCACCTCATCAAGCTCTTTGTACACTAGAAACTTCCAGAGAGATGTGTTGAGGGGAGTTGGAGCTAAACTTTCCAGGACACCGACCCTCCAGGACTGTGTTTCGACACCCCTGACCTAGTGCATAGGTCTCAAACTGGACTCCTGGAGGGCCGCAGGTCTGCACAGTTTTTCTTCAACCCTAATCAAACACAGCTGATCCACTAATCAAGGTGTTCAAGACTACTGAGACTATAAGCAGGTGTGGGTTTGAGGCAAACTATGCAGAGCTGCGGCCCTCCAGGAATTGAGTCGTTAGTTAACAAGCAAGTAAACCCTTTGTAACTTTAAACCATTGAGTTGACTTTATTTCATTTTTTATAATTGTGCACATAGTTTATTTACTTAATAACTTTAAGGCGACAATATTTTTGAGTCGACTTAAAAAGCGATGGGTTTACTTATTTTTGCTTTCTTTTTTTAGGACAGCCCATCAATCACTGTTTACAGTTTATAAAACCTCATTGCTATGTTGAACATCTCTGGAGAATTATTTAAAACAGATTTAAAGGAGGGTGAATCATTTATGCTTTGTTATATGATATAAAACTATAGATGTTTTTTTATTTAACACTGTAATATATTACATTTCAATGCATCTCTAAATTCGTTGGTTTCATGAGTCTCTGGTTAGGACGGGGTGATCTGAACACGGCTATTTCTGAACAGCAGCATGTCTGATTTTATTATGGTGAATGTAATTCATTAATGTGGAGCAGAAGGAGTTTAATGCTGAACTTTCTATGAGCAATAGTGAGAGATGTCAGTGCCTTATACTGTATCAGTTATATCAGGCTATGGGACTGAGAAGTGCTGCTTTAACAGGCCAATGCTTTCAGACTTAAACGCTTTTGTAAGATGTATGTTTGTACAATATAGCTGGTGTTTTGTGCTTTGTAAATATTGAATTTGATCTATTATCTGTGGTTTGTTGTTGATAATAAACTAAAAGCTCCGTCTTTGGGTTTATAACTGTTTGTGTTCATAATGACGATCTAAATCTCTGTTCCTCTATATTCATCAGCTAGTACATTAAAACCTGGCCACAAATGGCTCTTCTAAGCAGACCATGACCCTAAGCACACTGCCAAATCAGTTCAAATGTGCTGTAAGGGCAACAGAGGGAATGTTTTGGAGTGGCCATCACAAAGCCCTGACCTCAATCCTATAGAGAGTGTGTGGGCAGAGTTGAGAAAGCTTGTGTGAGCAAGACAGCCTACAAATCTGACTCAGTTACAGCAATTCTGCAGGAGGAATGGGCCAAAACTCCTGCAAACTACTGTGAGAAGCTTGAGAACATTTCAATACACACAAACACAAGCTCTTTTTCAGGAATCCCTGCTGAAAAATCCAGCTTAAACCAGCTAGGCTGGTTGGCGGGTTTTAGCTGGTCGACCAGGCTGGTTTTAGGGGGGTTTTGGCCATTTCCAGGCTGATTTCCAGCCTGGTCTTAGCTGGTCATGCTGGAAAATTACCAGCAAAATCCAGCTAAAACCAGCTTGACCAGCCTGGTTTAAGCTGGATATAGCTGGTTTAGGCTGGACTCCCAGCTTGGCTAGGCTGGTCAAGCTGGTTTTAGCTGGTCATTTTCCAGCCTGACCAGCTAAGACCAGGCTGGAAATGGCTGGAAACCAGCCTGGAAGTAGCCAAAACCCCTCTAAAACCAGCCTTGTTGACCAGCTAAAACAAGCCAACCAGCCTAGGCTGGTTTAAGCTGGATTTTTCAGCAGGGATGCCTGTGTGATCACTGATCAATGTGGAAAAGTGATGTGAAATTTTAATGTTCCTAATTTAAAACAATATTGTCATATTAACAAAACTCCCGACCATAGATATATGTGTAAATGTGTATATCTCCGGCTCTGGATGGCCACAGTCCTCCACTGCAGCTTGGTCCCGCATTCATTTTAAGGGAGCGCTACCCTGTACTAAAATGGCGGCTCTATTGACGCGTTCCTTCCAATAGACAACAACAGAGTAGGCGACATCTAATGTATATATCTCTATGTAAAGTCTCTCCTTCCCGCTAGTCGTCGCCAGTGCACTGGCTACATCCTGTGACATCATATACGTGCGCCGCGTTCGGTTTGCGACCATAACAACGCCTGATAACCCTCACTTTTTTTTCGATATTTTTAAATAAAGGGATATTAATTTCAGAATCTGTTCGCACTTCCCTGAAGCTCCTGCACACAACACCCTTCAGACCGACACACGGTGAGACCGTACACCTCAGCCGCCTGCGCTCTTTGTGTGCGAGTGTTTCAGAAGCGTGTGTGTTTGTCTGAGTGCTGTATAAATGAACCGGTCTGATCCAAATCACGGAGATTATTTACACTCTTTACATCGCTTGTGTTTTAATCTCGGGGTCTGCAAGATGCTTCATGACTGAAGTGCTTTCTTATGTTCATTGTGTTTCGATCAGTAATAATGAAAACACTGTTGTCCTTATGTTATTAGATCAGCCCGGTTGTGATTGCTGGATGATTGATGATCTATTATATTGGTATTATTGCTGTGCTAATTCAGTCACACAGAGGTTTTTAAAGTAGTAAGTGAGGCTCTTCATGTAGTTAGATGAAAGACGATTACTATAACAGAATGTTCAAACTGAAATCTGTCAAACTCCATGTAAACTTGTGAATAAACCCATCACACAATCTATATTTCACTTAAAAATAGACACACGTTGGCTAGATATACATAAACATAGCTACATTTGGTCAGAACCTCACTTACTATTCACTTGTGTGTAAAATTGACAGAATAGTTTATGAATATTGTCTTTTCGTATGCCATTTTTAATGTTTTTTTTCCTGTGCAGTTTTGAAAATAGTTGGCTTTATATTCGCACATTCACTCAGTGAGAACTTGTGTCGCGCTCTCTATATGTTACTGTGGTACTTTGAATATCCGAACTGAAATCATGTGTAAATATGACTTCACAACAGCATTAGCACTGTTTAATTGACTGAACTATGTTGTATCTTGATATTCGTCGGCTGCTAGTATGATTTCGCTATTTATAATTGGTAAAGAATGCTTTTCTGTGTGATATTATAAAGGAGAAAGTCTGAATGTGAGAATATAAAACCAACTTCTTTTTCATTCCTTGGCTAATATATACATAATACTTTCATTGTTTTCTTTTCGGCTTAGTCCCTTTATTAATCAGGGGCCGCCACAGCGGAATGAACCACCTACTTATCCAACATATGTTTTACGCAGCGGATGCCCTTCCAGCTGCAACCCATCTCTGGAAAACATCCATACACACTCATTCAAACTTATACACTACGGACAATGTAGCCTACCCAGTTCCCCTATAGCGCATGTGTTTGGACTGTGGGGGAAACCGGAGCACCCGGAGGAAACCCACACCAACACAGGGAGAACATGCAAACTCCACACAGAAACACCAACTGACCCAGCCGAGACTCAAACCAGAGACCTTCTTGCTGTGAGGCGACAGCACTACCTACTGCATCGCCTACATTATATATATATATATATAGGCACAATGCAGTTTTATTTCTCCTGCGGAGTGTCTCAGTGCAGTGCAGTGTGTACAGTAATATGTACAGAGATATTATATGAGAGACTGGCTTTGTTTACCAAATACAGTGGATCTAATTGGAGTTGCGTTGTAAACATTAAGGGCTCTATCCTACACCGGGCGCAGTGTGGCGCAAGGCATGGCGCAGTAGTCTTTTGCTAGTTTCAGCTTGGCGCAAGAGTGGTTTTGAGGCGTTGCGCTACGCTGTTTAAATAGCAAATGCATTAGCGCTCATATGTGCGTCCATAGGCGTTCTGGTCTAAAAAGGAAGGTGTTCTGAGGCGGACCGCTGGCGCGTCGCTATTTTGAGAAACTATAATAGATTTTTCATTAGACCAAAACTAACCCGGTCTAAACTCCAGCGCAGAGCTGCGCCTCGCTTACACACTGCTTAATACACACAAGAGAGCAACAGGCAAATATCTTTACATATGAAAACATTTAAATATTAAAGATATACATAGGATATAATAAGAATAGATATAGGATATAAATATAAAGGATTAAAATATTACAAAACATATTATTTTCTAGCCTACATAAATATGAAAATCCACTGCTTTCATGTCTTCTTTATCTCGGGAGGCTTTTTCAGTTCATTCATAACAATCTGCTTTTGTGTAATGTTATTATTATTAGCAGTATTATTTATTATATCCATATTTATATTTGTTTTATTAAAAACAAGCTTAGATTTGTCCACCTGTCAGGTTTTAGACCATATGGGGCACAGCATGTGTTTTAGGATATAACTCAGGTTTTTGAGCACACTTCATTAATATTGTTCATTTATTCATTTGCTGGAAATTAGAACTGAATTTAGAAATAGTTTTGAAACGAATATTTGCGCTTAACAAAGAAAATTAATTATTTAAAGACTAATTGATGTCTGTGTGTAAAGGTTTCCCTATCCAAGAGTGAAAGTGAAAGTGATCCATTATCTCTCATTGTCACGCTGCAGATGCTCTGTTTAACAGTTTTCTGTTAATAAACTGTGAACTGTTTGCTGGTGAAATGCTCAGTTTTTCCACTTAGACTTACTTTGCGTCCTGTAAATAGTGAATGCGCTCTTGGCGTGACACAGCTGACTCTTAAAGGGAATGGGAGATGAGACTCTGATTGGTTTATTCTCTAAACACACCTATAACTCATTAAGAAAATAAACTCAACACTTTTAGCCCATGTGCCTTAGCGCAAAGCGGATTTTCCCGTCCGTAAATTAGCAAAAATGTGTTCTGACACGCCCTGAAAGCGTTTGCGCTCTGCGCATGGACCGTCAAAATAGAGCCCATAAAGTTAAAACTTTTAGTTCATATATTAAAGCTTTAGTTATGATGCTCACAGAACAATTCTGCATAAATCCACAGATTTTTATCACAATTCTGCACAGAAATATTATAACATGTTCACAGATTCCATCCGGCCCTACTTATATGGTGCTGTGTACTAATGCGTATAATAAATACTGCATTATTGATATAAGGTGCTGTGTGTAAGTGTGTATGAGAAAGCATTGCACACGTTTATTGCACAGTTGAGTAATATTTAACTGTTCAGATGGCCTGAGGAGAGAAACTCTCCCTGTGTCTGGCTGTTTCTGTGCTTGCTGCTCTGAAGCGCCGACCAGACGCTAACAGTTGGAGCAGGTGGTGTGCTGGGTGCGAGGCGTCCTGACTGATTTTACTCACTCTGGAAGAGTACAGATCTTGAAGTGTAGGAAGGGCAGTGCCTGTAGCTGTGTTTCCATCCAAAAATGTGAATGAACTTTATGCGTAAGGCTGGATTATCGTATTAATGATGTGCAAATAAAGCAGCGTTTTACATCCAGCGAGTTAAAGTGAACAAAATCGTCACTTCCTGAAAATCTGGCGGCAGAGATCAACAGTAAAAGCTTAATTTGCTGCAGGAGAAACTGCGTCAATCTTCATCTAATAAGTGACCTGCGCCTCAGGAGTCAGTCTCGATTACTTTTCGATGAATCCCCCAGCCCTGATGTGCAGCACGTTACGCTCTCTCGTTACGCTCCATGTCTTAAAGATTAATTATTAAATTATCCTAATTATTAAATAATCTAATTCTCTTTGTTTCTTTAACAGAGCTTTTAAACATCCCACTTACACGAATATATCCAATCTGCCAAGAATTCAAGCTCTGGATGTCGATGTTGGACTCTTTCTAAAGACACAAACAGCGGTGCGAGGACCCCGGGAGGAATGGGGTAGAGATTGCGATGAGGGTCCCGGCACCAAACAGCTCTGATCAGGCAGAATCGGGCTCAGGTAAGATGCCTGAGAATGGACGCTCAAGGAGGAAACGCGTGCCAAAGACGTGCGACTGCTGCGGGCCCAACGGAAAGCCCCACATGCCTGGACACGAGCAGGTTTCGAAGAAACGAGGCCGCAAGAAGAAGGAGATGGTGAGCCAGGGAGAAGTGGCCGCGGAGGAGGAGGTGGTCTGGAGCACGTCCGGAGTCCTCACGCTGGAAGCCGACGCTGTGACTGCTGAGATGGAGGAGACGCCAGATGCCAGAGGAAAAGCAGACTTCATCCAGTCTGAGAGTGTGAGTGACAGCACTGTGATGGTGAACGGTTTGGAGAACAGCGCTCATGATAACTGTACTGATCCCGCCAAAGAGAACAGCCATCCAGTCCAGGCTGCTTCTGCTCTACTCAATGACCTAATGAAGAAACCCTCTGATTCTGCCTCGGTGGCTGCAGAGCCGGACGCTTCTCCTCATAGTAATGCGATGGAGACTGAACCGTCCAGCTTGTGTGTTCGTGTAGACAAGGCCTCCTGGGACCATCACTACTGCAAATCCAACCCTGCGGAGAACAGAAGCGACTCTGCAGAGGCGTCAGGACCACCGCCTGCTGAGTTTACAAGCGAGGGCATCATCGACTGCATTCACGGTACTGCTGCTCTGCTCTCCACTGCTTCCAATGAAGGATCTGCTTAGGTTGCAGACGCTTTAATACACACAAGAGGAAACCTATTTATTTTGTACAATGCATGCTAACGTCTAGAGAAGGCAACAGTAATGATCATCTCACTCATATTTTGCTGTCAGTGCTTGTTAGAGGTCAAGTGTTAGTCAAAGTTTGGCTTAGAGTGGGAACCCTGGCTTTTGCTGACTTGCGTGGCTTACAGTATGTGCTGTCATGTGTTTCATTACTCAACATGCTTCTCTTCTCGCAGAATTCCTCGAGCAGTTTTACGGGAAATACGGAAGCTTCACTCCTCTGTGTGAAACCGATGTCCTCGATCATCTGAATAAGATCTTCCAGGCTGATTTAAATGACAGGCAAGTTTGTTTGATAATCAGTCACATGAAAGATGCTGGCTTCAGTTTCTGACTATTATTGAAGGCAAAGTATACAAGTGCAATACAGAATCAGTGAACGCCGGAAGACTTCAGACGGACAAACTCTGGCTGCATGCTCAGTGACCAGGGCTCTCATATATAAAACTTTGCATTGAAATCTTCCTAAAAGGCTTCAGTGTCCACCAGAATACTGTTTTAATGCATTCATTAATGATTATGGACATTGTGATGTTTTAAAGTGCTTCATTTAAGTCAATAATTAAGGTAAATATGTCTATTTAGAGTTTACTCGCAGCTCTGCACATTCTTCTGTGAAGTTAGAGATCACACTCTTTGCGAGGGGATTGACGCACACACATTTCCGCCCTCGTTTTGTGCCACGTTTATAAATGAGACCTTTATTAGCACTGTCTTAATGTAATTAAGCCTTAATTATAAGCTTGTTCATGTCATAAAACTCAAATATCACTCAATAAGTGCCATAACTATTGTTAATATAACTTTCACTTTAGAATAGGGGGTCAATTGCTTTTATTAGTACTGTATTAATGACATTTTAGCCTTAATTATTTGCTTGTTCATGTCTATAAACTCAAATATCTCTCAATAAGTGCCATAATATGACTTTCACTTTAGAATAAGGGGTCAATTGCCTTTATTAGTACTGTATTAATGACATTTTAGCCCCAATTATTAGCTTGTTCTAGTCATTAGACTTTAATATCACCCAATAAGTGCCATAATTAATGTTAATATGACTTTCACTTTAGAATAGGGGGTCAATTGCCTTTATTAGCACTGTCTTAATGTAATTTAGCCTTAATTATTAGCTTCTTCATGTCAATAAACTCGAATATCCCTCAATAAGTGCCATAATATGAATTTCACTTTAGAATAGGGGGCCTATTGCCTTTATTAGTACTGTATTAATGACATTTTAGCCTTAATTATTAGCATGTTCTAGTCATTAGACTTTAATATCACTTAATAAGTACTATAATTAATGTGGATATCACTTTCACTTTAGAATAGGGGGTCAATTGCCTTCATTAGCACTGTATTTAGCTAGTTCTAGTCAATAAGCTTGAATATCCCTCAAGTGCCATTATAAATGTGGACACAACTTTAGGACATGAGGTTAAACTGTGTTTATTACACTATAGCAGCCATATATCATTGCAGACCAGCAGTAATTACACATAAACACTAGCTTGTTGTTCAGGCAACTTACATAAACAATTAAAGACGTAATAAATGGCTTATCAAATAGTAAAGATTTTGTTTAAAATGCCTTGATGTTCAGTTAATCGTGATTTATGCGTTTGCTCATGCTTAACTGATGTATAATTGTGAACAAGTTAATCATGATTTATGAGTTTAACTGAGCTCAACTAATGCATAATTTGCGACCCTTAAAGTGTTAAGTAACTAATGCTTAATTGTGAACAAATTAACCATGAATTAATGCTTAACTAGTGCGATATTTTGGACCCCTATTCCTGTAATGAATGCTTTATTCACTATTATAAAGTCTAATCATCATAGGAGTAAGTTACTGTGTTAACTTATGTGTGGAAATAGAATTCAAATGCAATTTCTCAACATTGAAATCTGTTTTGGATTAGATAAAAGCAGCCTTCATTAGGACTAGATGTGACTTTCAAGCCTGAAAACAAGTGCAGAGCGAGAACTCTGAATGCTGGTGTCTGTTTAATGTAATGCACATCTATCTGTGATTATTGTTGCTCTGGTATCAGTGCTAATAATATTCTCTATTTGAACTTGATGAGATTGCAGTTAGAATTAATATAAAATAAAGTCAAATGCATCCATGTATTTATGAAGTAGCCATGTGTAGAAATGAAATGAATGCCTGTTTTTACACAGTTTGTGGAAAATGACTGTAGTAAATGGTTTACGGTTCACTGATGTAACAGTACTGTACATTCTGTCTGTCTGTCTGTCCAGGATGAAGCTGATAACAGCAGAAGTGGCCAAGTACAGGGCAGGTCTGGCCTGTGCTCCTATGCATTTACAAGTGACCTACAACAAGCACACTTTGTCCTTAGAAGACCTTTCCACGCTTGATGACCAAAACTGGGTCAACGATCAGGTGGGTGTTGTTTAAACATCAGATCCTGATGCCAAGTTCAGACTGAAAATAACATCCGCGATCGCCTACAGCCCATGAGAGAGCAGCATCCTCTAGTGTGTGTGTGCCTGCAGGCCAGCGGGAGGATGAGGGAGAAGATAAAGCGCTCATTTTCGGTTTATTCGGACTCCAGAAATGGGGGAAAAACTAGTGGAGCTCTTTTGACAGGAGCTCTGTGTCTGTTGGAGATACTTCATTTACACCAGTACAGTTGCAGATCTAAGTCGTGCTGGTATTAAACTTTTTTTTGAGGGTATTAAAAAATGTAGTATAGGGAATTTAATTCAACTTTAGGAGTTCTGTATATACCCTGCTTAGCGTGAAGGCATAGGGCTGAGGGGAAGGGCTAGACAGCCCTTGAAACTGAGATTTTTCAGGACCACACTTGAAACCAAGAGGTACAAACATTTCCCAGAATATCAAATCTCATGTCAGAGAAGTCTGGCATCTGTGATGAGCTGTCTACAGTGTCTGATGTGATGTTTATGCTGTTTTCGTGTGTTTACACAGATGAATATGGCCACTGTGTAAATGCACAGTACGGGTATGAGCTTATTGGCATATGAGATCATTATGGTAATCTGATATTGTTTCCTCCAGTGATTTCCTGAAGATAAACACTAATAAATAACACAACAGGAATAACTCCAGCAGTCGCCATCGGGTACAGAAATATGATTGGGTGTTAATTGAAACAGAGTTGTTCGTTGTTAGTTCATGTAATCTCATGTAATCAGTGCATGAAATCATTTGAATAACAGTCATAAATTTGGATCTGCTAGAGCAGGGGTTTTCAAACTGTGGGTGAACAAAGGTGGGTCGCGCAATGTCACATCTGCAGCTATATTTACATCAAAACCAGTACGATTGACAGCATTAACTCAAAAACCTCTCGCCCTAAAAATATCTGAAGTGTGTTTCCTACGAAAAGACAAAGCTGGTGATGTTTCACAGCCGTCTTTTTCTTTTGTTTGAGCCCTCGCAATCTGTGTTCAGCCGGTAGAGCTCGCGCTGAGCGGAGGTCTCAGTAAGGGACCGTCGGAAAAGTGCTTTTTTTTTGTTTTTTTGTTTTTTTTGTTTTTTCTTTGCTCCGTCCTGCGTGTTTTATTTTAAACACGACTAATTTTCTCTTAAATGAGCACCAACAGTTACTAAATTAGTCAAATGCTTCATTATAGATCTGTGCATTCTCACATGAACACCTCTGTTATCAAACAAAACACAATGAGAGATTCATTTGCTGCTCTTCACTAAATAACTACAGTAACTTTAATCAATATGCAAATACAATCGAAAGTGAAGTAGATTTTACAGCTTTATTTAATTTCTGTATTGTCAATATTTTCTAATGTTTGCTATGTGTTCTATCATTTGAAGCTAATTGTTGTCCATTATTTTACATCCCAACATTGACAGATTGCCAGTCAATAGATAGCTATAGTGCTGTCTGTTAGTTTTAGCGTCAGCTAATGTTATGGAAGGGCATAGATGTTATGGAAAATAGTAATAGTAATGTAACTACCCCCATCATTCCTTCCTCAAGCAAATGTGTAAATATTAGATCTATTCAGCTTTAACGTTAACTGCATTGGCATATTTATCTGACATTTTCCAGCTTGTAGTAGTCGATCAAAAAGCGATTCAGTTACTTATGACTTTACACTAGCACTAGTGGAGTTTACTGCTATGTGACGGGGCTTGCTCATAATCAAGAGGCTTGATCAAAGGTTGATCATATTGTCTTCTGAAAAAAGTTACAGCCAGCATCCCACAAACAGCACTTCCAGCCTCATCTTGTGCATATCAAATCGCAAAATCCAAAAAGCCGCACACCATATATTTTTGACTGCTTTGAATGGAGACATTTTTTACCCATTTCTCCATAATAAAATATTAGGGTGGGTCTTGAGATTGAATTACTTGCCTAGACGGGTCCCGGAATAAAAAAGTTTGGGAATCCCTGTGCTGATATATTAGTGAATGTTGAGCTGTGATTAATAAACGCTGTACACGTATTGCTCATTCAATAATCAAAATCTATTCTAAACTGTAACGGTAATCTCTTGCATTTAATTTTCTTTTTAATGAAGTGTGATTTTATGCGGATGTCTTGTCATTGACGCTTACATCCTTTATTTTTATTATGGTTTGTTTTCTGTGTTTTTGCAGGTGATTAACATGTATGGAGAATTGATCATGGAGGCTACAAACCACACGGTAAAACCCTGACTTGATCTAGAATATAAAGAGTGAGCTCTGTTTCCTCAAAAGCTAAGGGGATATTCACAGATGGATGTACTGTCAGCATTATATACAGGTTGGGTTAGCTATGAACAGAGATTTACAATAGAGGAATATATGTACAGGGTGCTATTAATAATCAGAAGTGTGCAGATAGATAAGCATAATTATAGATGTCCGTGTGCAGTGAGTGTGTACAGATCAAATAAGTGAATCAGTGCAATGAATATGTGCAATTTTAAATGTGCAAATGTTAAAGTTGAGTCTTCTATAACTATAATAAATGCCGTGGCTTTTGAAGGCGTAAGATGCTCTTTGGGAGCGCAGACAGATGCTCAAGACAGTTCTGGAGCTACTAATAATAATAGTGAACCACTGTGAGGACGTAATGTTTAATCAAAGAATCTTTATGACGTCCATAGACTTGACTTGTCCATAGACTTACGTCCACTTGTCTAATGTTGTCTGAATATTTGTAAGTTACTAAATGCTGCAAGAGCTTTCAGACATGTCAATTACTAATCATTTGCACCTGATGATCTTAATTCGATAAGTATAAGCTGCAAAATACAGTACGGTAAATACATGTTATGTGTATGTGAATGACTTGATGTCATACATGCAACATACATTTCAAAATAGAGCAAAAATGGCTGTTTACATATATATATATTATTTTTTATTTTTATTTTTTTTTAATATATATATATTTATATTTATATATATTATTTCCCTACCAATGCAATTACAAATATGATGCATAAATCAAATATACAGTAATGGACATTTGAGGTAGATCAAAAACTTTCATCACAACTGTCGTAAATCTTTTGATCAACACCGATTCTTGTCTTACAGCAGGATGATTTGAATAATCTTGATCCTCTTCAGATGTTGACTACTTCATATACTGTATATACTGTTTATTAAACATCACATGACATGTCAGATACTAGTGAGCATTTGATTGGTCAGGAGATGAATGAGGAAACCTGCAAGACTTTGATGTTTAGGTCTTCTAGATGTAAATGATGTCGCTGTTTTGTTCTACACTTGCTGGAGATTAATACACTGAACTAACATCTGAAAAGCTTTATTTTGATGTGATGGGACCTTTAAGGCCTCAAACTTCCAGACTGAAACTCATCTGACTGTGTTTTCTTTGCCCTTTTCTAGGTTCATTTCTTCAACAGTTTTTTTTACCGACAGTTCGTAGCAAAAGGCTATGAAGGAGTGAGGCGGTGGACCAAAAAGGTGAACGTCACGGCATGCAGAACTTCACTTCACTGTTATTGTTTGATTATTGCATGATGGAGGGCTCTATCATACACACGGTGCAATATAGCGCAGGATGTGCTGCTATTTTCAGACCAACACAACTCTAGTTTTCCACCACGCTGTGGACTCATGGGTGTTTCGATCTAGCAAAATAATCTTGTTTTTCAGTATTTAATAGTCCTTTCGCAAAGTGTCTTATTGGGTGTGTGTTGATGTGCTCAGGTTGATCTGTTTTCGAAGACACTGATTCTGATTCCTCTTCATCTGGAGATCCACTGGTCGCTCATCACTGTGGACGTTTCCAAGCAGAACATCAACTTCTACGACTCCCAGGGCATCCTGTTCAAGTTCGCTCTGGACGTGAGTGTTTTATGAGCCGTGTGTTTGAGCTGAATCGCCACACTGAGCTGAGCTGACGTGTGTCTCCTCTCCACAGAACGTCATGAAATACATCATGGAGGAAGCAAAAGAGAAGAAACAACCGCTCTTTCAGAAGGGCTGGAAGATGCTCATCAACAAGGTCTGGACAGGAAGCTTCCTAAAACAGTCAATTCAGTTCAGGTTTATTTGTGCTGCGCTTTTCACAATGATTACTGTTTTAAAGCAGCTTTACAAACTTTGCTCATTACATTACAGTGCAAATCAGAAAAGTTAAGGTAATTAGTTACTTGACTTTATTAGTTAGCTAGTAACTAAGAGCTTTTAACAGTTAAAGCTGTGATATACAGTGGGGAAAGTATTCAACATGTCACGTTCTTTACTTTAACTTTAGCTTGTAAAGGGGTCTGTTCCATAACCCAAGCTTAGAGAAAAAGCCAGGCTTATTTTGGTAAGTCAGGTTTATTAATGTCGGATTTTCATGAATCAAATTTACAATAGTTTAACCTCTGGCAGCTTATGCTGGGACACTAGCCTGGGCTGGAGCAGGTCGACTCTCAGGTCTTAAATTCAACTTAATCAAAGTAATGTTAACATTCACCTGCTGTAATCTGATCCCATTTTAATTCACTTCACCTCTTAATAATGATTACATTATAGTCACTTAATAGTAAATATAAATCTATATATACATCAAACATCTTTAAGAATAGACTGATAATACATTTAAACTCAAACAAGTTATTGCAAACTACATTTTTACAGTTTTTTATGTTTCTGTTCATTCAAATTTTATTAAATTTCCCCCTCAACATATTAGTTTGGGTGTACTAACTTTTGCACAGTGATCTTCAGGTTATTTGTTTTTTGATTAGTTCCACATTTTGCTTTGGTGCTGAATAATCTAATGTATAGCTGTATTCTGTATTCTCTATTGGATTGGGCTCAGATGATTGGCTGGTCCATTCAACAGCTTGATTTTCTTTCTCTGAAAGCATCTGAGAGTCTCCTTGGCTGAGTTTCTGATCATTGTCTTGCTGAAATAGTGTCATCTTCATCCTCCTGCTGATGTAGATGTTGGACTGAAGCAGCTGATCTTCATTTACACTGAGGAAGGGCAGAGGCTTGCTGAAGAGATTTCAGCTGCTGTCTGGGCTTTCCAGGCCTTCCACACCTCCCTTTCTTCATGTGTTCACACCTTTTCTATATCATTTTATCACAGAACTTCATTTGTAGACTAATTAGATTAGTTTTCTTTGCATATATGGATGTCATTGGTTGTTACCAACCTCTGATCAAGTCAAATAGTAGAAAATAGTTTGTTTATTTTGTGCAAAAATAGTGACGTGTTCAATACTTATTTCCCACACTGTATAAGCATATTTATCCTGCAGTTATATAATATATAGGTGAATGAAGTGTATTTATGAGTGTGTGTGTGATTAATAAACGTCTGCTTTTAGTTGTTTTTGTAATTGTTTTTGCTCTTCCACAGACCATTCCACAGCAGAAGAATGACAATGACTGTGGAGCTTTTGTTTTGGAGGTAATACATACTCACATGTACATGTGCTGCTTTGCATGATGTGAGGGTGATGAAGAACGATGTTCAGTGCGAACATTTAATGTTGCTCCAAATGGCATCTTTTGATTTTATTTTTTACCAAGCCAGCCAGTAAGATAATGATGTGCAATATTTAATATTGTCTCTATTATAATCATGCACACAGCTGAATTTCTGTGTAACACATGTCTGATCATAACAGTGTTAATAACTCATCTCTAATAACTGATTTATTTCCTCTTTGTCATGATGACAGTGAATAATATTAGACTAGATATTCTTCAAGACACTTCTATACAGCTTAAAGTGACATGTAAAGGCTTCACTAGGGTAATTAGGGTAACTAGGCAGGTTAGGGTAATTAGGCAAGTTATTGTATAACGATGGTTTGTTCTGTAGACTATCCAAAACAAATATAGTTTAAAGGGGCGAATAATATTGAGCTTAAAATGCTGTTTAAACTATTAAAAACTGCTTTTATTCTAGCCCAAATAAAACAAATCAGACTTTCTCCAGAAGAACAAACATTATCAGACACACTGTGAACATTTCCTCAATCTGTTCAACATCATCTGGGGAATATTTAATAAAGAAATTTAAAGGGGGTGAATAATTATTAAACTGTGTGTGTAGTTCTGAGTTTATATCTTTTGAAAAAGCATAACCGAGTGTGTGTTGGTGTTCTTCAACCTTGTAAAGCAGTGTGTGTGTGTGTGTGTTTTGTCTTTGCAGTACTGTAAGTGCCTGGCCTTCATGAAGCCGCTGTCGTTCACTCAAGAGGACATGCCTCGAGTCCGCAAGAGGATCTACAGAGAGCTGTGTGACTGCAGACTGTCCCACAGCCCAGACCAGGTCAAAGCCTCATAGATTCCGGACCCTCAGCACAGCATGGCCGGTTTGGACTTGACAACGAAAAAACCCAAAGTTTTGCTCAGGCAGAGCTGGACATTGTCAACACGCGAGCCTGTCCACACATTCCCGATGGCTGAGGCAGGATTTTTCAGGTTGCTTTTACCTCTTCGCTCGACATCGGCGGTCAAATAAGCCTTCCTCCCGGCCTCACAAACCCAGAACTCAACAAAGACGTTTCTCAGAGAGCTGTTCTGAAACTGACGTGAGCCCTGGAGGAGTTTATGGTTTACCGGCTCCCACGCTGATTCCAAACCTCACAACCACGCGGATCTGTGCTTCTAACGCATTTCAGTTCGTTCCTTTGCGTGTTTCAGTCAGGTTTTGCTTTGCAGTATGACACTTGAAGGACTTCCACAGTCTCTAAATGCCACACGTTGAGGTCCAGCAGCATTTATAAAGGCTGAATGTACTGTTGAACAGGTTCTGCTGGCTCACCTGAAAGCAGATTTCCTGGACCAGGTTTCCAAGCTGAAACAAATCCACAGGATTGACTCTTGACATCAGGCTGCTTTCTGTAAAGCGCTGACATTACTCTGTGAACTGCTGTCCTCTCACTTCTGAGCACTTTCCGTTGTTTTCTTCAGATGCGTTAGCGGTTGTGTAGCATGTAGATTGGTCATTCCTGAAGTCAGCTACAGGTCATTTTAAGATGAGCACAGTTGGTTTGGAGCTGCAGGTTTCTGTCTTTTATTTATGTTTTTTATAATGAAATCGATCTGAAGGCAAGTCAGCCTGCCGCTCTGTCATCACGTAAAACAAACGCTGAAGGCCAAACGCAGGTCAGTGTTGACTGTTGAGTCCTCCTCATTATTATTATCACGGCCACCGTCTCCATTCTGTGTGTGGGCAGCGTTTGTTTTTAACACACTTGTGATGCCGTTTGCTACAGAGATATGTCAGGATGGTGATTTTATACTTTTGTCAGTGATCCACCGTTCCAGAGCGATACCTAACTTTGGTTACTTGAAAAACCAACAAATCATAACCTCAGACTGCGTCTCTGACTACTGCGTTCATCGTTATTTAAATAATACAACACAAATCATGTTGATCAGCAAGTCTTGTGTGGTTCATTGAGTTAGAGATCCTCTTTATGGGGTCGTCTTTTAAATTAACTTCAAACCTTTCTGCTGTGGAAGTCAGAGATACAGTTTTCAGCATTCTCCAAAATATCTTCTTTTGTGTTCAACAGAAGATCGTAAAAGATCTGCAACAACTTGAGGAGGAGTGATCAGTAAGTATATTTTCATTTCTCTCCCTTTAAACCTCGTGATATGCTGATTGTAAATAAGTTGATCATTTTTCAAAATACTTCAGAAATTCCTGATTTATAAAATATACAAGCTTATACAGGCAGAATGGGGCATTTGTTGAAGATTTAGTTTTGTCAAATCAGTGATAATTATTACTTAAATTCATTATTTGCCTTCAGAACTGCCCTAATCCTTCGTAGCATAGATTTAACAAGCTACTGGAAATATTCCTCAGAGATTTTGCTCCATATTGACATGATGCCAATCTCCCGTTCCACCACATCCCAAAGCTGCTCTATTGGATTGAGCTCTGGTGACTGTGGAGGCCATTTGAGTACAGTGAACTCATCGTCATGTTCATCAGTCTGAGATGATTGAGCTTTATGACATGCTGCGTTATCCTGCTGGAAGTAGCCATCAGAAGATGGAGACACTGTGCTCATAAAGGGATGGACATGGTCAGCAGCAATACTCAGGTAGGCTGTGGCGTTAATGCTCAATTGGTACTAATGGACCCAAAGAAAATCTCCCCCACACCATTACACCACCACCACCAGCCTGAACCGCTGACACAAGGCAGGATGATCCATGCTTTCATGTTGTTGAGGCCAAATTCTGATTAGAAATGTGCGTTAACGAGCAGTTGGGACAGGTGTACCTAATAAAGTGGCCGGTGAGTGCAATTCTGCCTATATAGGTTTTTTGACTTGCAATACAGTTATAAAAGCACATTTTAACTGATAATGCACACAAGCAGAATTTTAAGTTATGTTGATAAATGTATGTATATAACGAAGGTCTGCTTGCTTTTGACATTATATAAAATAGATTCATTTAAAAATATACTAATTAATTAGAATACATGTTTTGATGGGCAAGTACAATGCTTTCCAGCTGGGCTGTTGAATAAATTCATAGTGTTTTCAGCCCTATATCAGTCTGACATTTCATTCTTGATATATTTAAAGTCTTAAATTTGACTTGTAACCCTGCTTTAGTTTGCTCCAGCGTTGAACACTTCAGTCTTTCGATATATGAACAGCTCTAGAGCTGCCCCGAGCCTCTTCACTCAGTGCTAAATAAGACTGTGTGTTTGTAAAAACAGAACCAGCTCTGTTGATTTCTAACAGCAATGCAGAAAAAACACGAGAGATACTTTACAAAACACAATTTATTAAACTCATCATGCTGGACCAGAAGAACTTGAGCGATTCCTAAAGCAAACTCCGATATGTACATTCAGAAAACAGCCGTAATCCTGCCAGATTCATTCATAACGTGGAAATATTTTAAAAGATTAAAAAAAAAGAAAAGGAAAATGACGAAAGGGATGTTCAAGATTTCTGCACCATCTTCCCATAACCCCCTCTGGCGGGATCATAGTCCTGCCTGTATTCATCTCTGACCTGAAACACAGAGAGAAGGATCATGAAACACCATATATATATATCTATATATACAGCTGAAGTCAGAATTATTCCCCCCTTTGAGTTTATTTTCTTTTTTTTATATTTCCAGAAATTCTGTGATCCTCGGGAACACTAAAAAACAAACATTACATTACATTATATATGATTGTAATTTTAAAAAATGCAGTATCACTTCACAATATCAAGCATTTATCATTTATTTTACCTGCACAATATCATGTGTAGATAAATAACAGCTTCTGTTCATAATAATGGCAGCAGACACCAAAATGCTTGCACATTACACACAGCTGCATCACGTTTACATGATAGTGAAGGTGGATATGAATAAATGACTGTGTTAATGAGAACGTGCTTTACCTGACCACCAGATTTCCCCCGTCCGTACTGTCGGCCCTCTTTGAAGCCTGCGTCCCAGTCTGTTCTGATGATGCGGTCGTCCAGACGCGTGCCGTTGACAAACCTCATGGCGTTCTCAGCGTCCGCACGAGTGTAATATCTGCAGTACAGCAGTTAACGAACTCACGACAATACAGAGTGTCGCCACAACCATATTTCATAAGCTGCTATTATATTAGTAATCTATCTATCCGTCCGTCTGTCTATCTATCTATCTATCTATCTATCTATCTATCCATCCATCCATCCATCCATCCGTCCATCCATCCATCCATCCATCTATCTATCTATCCATCATCTGCCCATCCGTCCATCCATCCATCCATCCATCCATCCATCTATATATCTATCTATCTATCCATCCATCCATCTGCCCATCCGCTCATCCATCTGCCCATCCGTCCATCCATCCATCCATCTATATATCTATCCATCCATCCATCTGCCCATCCGCTCATCCATCCATCCATCCATCTGCCCATCCATCCATCCGCCCATCCATCCATCCGCCCATCCATCCATCTGCCCATCCATCCATCTACCCATCTGTCTGCCCGCCTATCTATCCATCCGTCCATCCATCCATTCATCCATCCATCCACCCATCCGTCCGTCAAGCTGCCTGAGTAACTGAGTTTGTTTGATTTATGAAACCGAATCCGCCATTAATGAACCTGACTTACCAAAATAAGCCTGGCTTTTTCTCTAAGCTTGGTTTATGGAACAGACCCCAGGTCTCCGCTCAGGTCACCTGACTGAAATCTATCCATTGTGGATGCTCACAGCGCGACGTCAACGCTAACAGGATCTATGCTGCAGCTCTAATTAGAAGGATACTCGACGAAGCAGAAGCCGCACGCAGTCTTCTTGATTTTGTCGAGGCCGATGATGATCCTCTTGACGTCTCCACACTTGGCGAAGAGCTCGTGCACCTGCTCCTCTGTGGTGTAGAAGGACAGGTTTCCTACATACAGCGTGGCGCTCTGTTTGAGGAGCTTCTCCTGCTCGTAACGGTTGCCCTGACAACGAGACCAGATCATGCATTTTATTATGTGTGTGTTTTATTCACGAGTGAAATCTACTTCTGTCTTGCAGAACTACTCTTAAATTAACTTTATTCTTATTTTTGTTATTACATGTTACTCCTAATATTATTATGTTATTACATGTTATTCCTAATAATAATAATAAAAAAAGTTTATTCAGCAAAGGCATGTTGATCACATGACATAGGATATATATATAAAAATAAAGAGAGAGCTGGCTATTATAATAGTTATATAATAATTCTAATATTTATAATAATTTTTTTTTAATTCTGTTCATGAGCTGCATTATATTGAGAAAACTTGACATTGCGTTATTTTTTCCCTCTGCGATATTAATACAATTTCAGCAGATGACTTAAATAGCAGCGTTTGGAAAGTCTTTCATTTAGATTGATTGGAATGATTTTAACGGGCAGTGAAATAGAAACATATTTGAATGTCCTTTATTATACACATAATGAACAAAATACAGTCATAAATAAACACAAAGGAGCAAATATTAAAAAGAAATAAACCACACGTTACGCTTTTCAGGGGAGAGTAGCTGTTTTCAACTGCAGTAATTGAATAATCAAATGTAAATTAACATTGCAGTCTTCATCATATAAATATTTCCATGAAATGCATCTTTATTAAACTTCTTTATGCTCTACTGAAATGCTCACGCAGTCGCAGGCCTTAAAAACACATGCAGACGATACATGTTATACTCTATTGTGTTTCCATGTCTGCACTAATCTCATGTGTTTTGTGGTTTCTGGTCATTTATAATCCAAACTCAACAATGCATATCTTGAGATCTGACTATTGCCAATGCAAACATTGCGATATCAAACAATATATTGGGCAGCCCTAATAATAATATAATAATAATGATGATAAAAGTAATAATAATGATAATAATAATAACAATAATAATATTAATGAAAAATAATAATCATGATAATGATATTAATAATAATGATGATAATAATAATAATAATTTTAATAATAATAATAATATTAATAATTATAATAATAATGATAATAGTGATGATGATAATAATAATATTAATATTAATTATAATGATGATAATCACTAATAATAATAATAATAATGAAAATAATAATAATAATAATGATGATGAAAATAATAACAATAACATTTATATTAATGATAATTAAGATGATATTAATAATAATAATGATGATAATAATGTAAATAATAATGATGATGATGATGATAGTAATATAATAACAATAATAATAATATGATAACAACAATAATCATGATAATAATAATAATAATGATGATAATGACGAAAATAATAATGATAGTATTAATAATAATAATAATAATATTAATGATATCAATAATGATATGTCTCTTTTGCAGCAATTTGGCGTATTAGAATGTTTTTAAAAGCATCAGATGATATCATTAATCGGTTGTAAGTAAAATTTTGGGGGAAACTGTTTTTGGTTATAAAGTTTGTGGACAAGAACGGTCTAATACTAAGATTCATCTTTCCAAAAAAAACTTTTTAAATCTTGCAGATTCCAAACTTTAGTGTGGTAGTGTATGTGCAAACACTGCTGCAAATATAAATCACAATTGTGCTATTTAATTCACTCGTCTTTTTTGAGGAACTGTAAGTGTAACAATGTTTATGATAATAATGAAACAAAATAATAATATTAATAATAAAATAAATAAGTAAATAAAAATAATAATAAAAAGTCAAATATGATTGAAATCTTCATAGGTTTAAAAAAAAGATCAATTAATGAAAATCTACAATTACACTCATTCAGACCTGTACTCATTACAATGGATAAACACATTAGTGATCATATCGCATTTAAATAGACTTTATTACAAACATTTTGCTGATAAAATAGGTAAAACCTTGTGGTGTTAAGCATAGTGGCATATCCAAAGCATACCAATGACAAAACTTATTATTAGACTAAAGTACAGCTCAGTGTTTCTGCTCTCAGCCATAAACAAACTCTAATACAAGTTATACCCTTAGATAAAGCATGTGGTAGAAATATAAACAGTAAATCAATTTCAACAACAACATTGACATATTTGTTTACCTGCAAAAACAAATAAACAAACAAATAATGCGATTAAACTAAGGAGGAAGACATTAAAAATACAAAGAAAACAGCTGAACACAATTAAACATCGCGCATTTTACACTCACCTTAAAATGCTGATCCCTGTACTGGCTCACATCAACATAGGAGTCGCTGAAAAGAGCATTTAACTTTATGGACATTGTGAAAAAAGCAAATTAATTGAGGAAAAGTGAAGCTGGACGTGTTTAAATCAGCACGACACACAAAGCGGAAAGCGCTCTTCTTCATATGTGCATGACACCGGCTCACACTGCTTTACCGCCACCTACTGTTGAGAGCAGCTAAGGATACGACATTGTTGATTACCTTTGCCTACTACTTAAATAATTTAAGCAACAATTCATTGAGCAAAACAGTTGTGCGAAGAGACAAATAAACAAATATTTCCCACTATTATTTGACTTTACATTTCTTCTTCTCGTTTGTCTCCCGCTTTTCCTCGCGATAAGACCGCGGTCTGTGACGTCATCAGCGATATCCAACATGGACGTGCGGATAAACAGCGGCGTTTCTGCTCGAGCAGAGAGAAAAGAGCAAGAAAAGGCCAAAATAATCCAGCGAGAGAAACAACGGCAGACTATGAAGACGGTATGAAAACATTACAAATAATCCATATTCATATGAACTGAATCTGCGATGTGGTACACAATTAAAGCCATACAGCCGGTGCTAATCAGCCGTTGCCCCTCATTCCCATGGTAACCACAGGATCTATCACTAGCGTAATTACAGTAGGGAAGCTGATGCACTGTACAGATGAGGCAGACTGTACAACCCTGTAAAGACGCGGTTTACTGTGCTAAATAGGGATTTGCCCTCATAATTGGTTCAATATCTCTTTATGAGGGTTAAAGGACCAGTTATTAGAAAAGAACCCATATTTGATATACATCCTGCTGAAATAAACAAACAAAACAACAGGAGACCACCACAGAAGACTGAATGGGTACTGAGGTAGAGTTGGTTTATATTCGCACATTCGTCCATTAAGAAGTCTCTATGTTGTTTACCATGTTTCCTTGAATATTCAGTCAGTATTAACCTGCCAGTGTGACTTTAAACAACATGAACACTATCTAGTAGACTGATCAATGCTGTACTGTGATCATCAATGGCTGCTAATGTGATTTCCTTCTTTAGAATTTGCAAACAACACTTTCCTGACATGATATTATTAAAGAGAAGGTCTGAATATCTGAATATAAAAGCAACTTTAGCTCTATGGAATGGGTTTGATTATATTTATAATGGAGGTGTTTAGGTCACACTCCTCCTCTGTGCACCGGGCACTTTGTTTGAAACACTTCTGTTTCTGTTTGTACAGAATATAATGATAATGATAGCTCCTCTACATGTTTATACTTGTGCCCTTTTCTACAGCCACATACTCTATATCTAAAGTCTTTAAATATTTTATATTTGCTTTTATTTTCTGTTGCATAACCTCTACTTCTCATAATTTCTATTCTTCTTCTTCTTATTATTATTATTAGTCTATTATTTCTGTTATTGTTGTCATTATGTTTAAGGTCATGAGTGGTTGAGTAATGCCGAGTTCAGACTGCAGGATTTTAGCCCTGATGTTGACTTGTCGAGAGGTTTCTACCATAATCTATGCAAAAGTTATTCAAACTGACGAGAGAACGGAACCACTAATGGGTGTATTGGGCCAGTACAAACCTTTAAAATTGAAAGAGTTCTGAAGTAAATGACTTTACGGACCGGTACCAGAGCTTAGGAGGTGTATTGCACACATTTTATTCATCCATTTTCTGTTAGTCCTTTTATTAATCAGGGGTCGCCACAGCAGAATGAACCGCCAACTTATCCAGAATATGTTTTACACAGCGATGCCCTTCCAGCTGCAACCCATCTCTGGGAAACACCCATACACACTCATACACTGAGGCCAATTTAACCTACCCAGTTCCCCTATAGCGCATGTGTTTGGACTGTGGGGGAAACCGGAGCACCCGGAGGAAACCCACACCAACACGGGGAGAACATGCAAACTCCACACAGAAACACCAACTGACCCAGCCGAGACTCAAACCAGTGGCTTTCTTGCTGTGAGGTGACAGCACTACCTACTGCGCCACTGTGTTGCCGTCCACACATGTTTTGTTAAATTGAATGCAAATGTGACAGGACTGACCGAAACACAGGACAATTGTACATTTAATTGTGTTATAAATTTGTATAAAGGTTATTTATAATTTCAGTTGAAGGGAATCATAACAACTAAATAACTACATAACAACTATTTTATTCTAAATAGCAGTTTTTAGCATAACAAATCTATTAATTCTGTAGGTTTATTTGGGCTGAGGACAAGAACAGGGTTAGTAAATTTCTAAAGTGTTTTTAATAAACAACAAAAATCAGAATAACAGAAATCAAGCCCATTTTAGACATTTTTGGGATGAAACACTTTTTATTCACTGTATTTGTTTGTATTTCATGGACAGATAATGTACAGTATTGGTCATATGTCCTGTAAGCATTTCCTTGCATGTCATATGATGCATGACTGTGTATGTGACTAATACAATGTGAATTTTACCATTAGACCCTTTATAACATGGCTCCTATATTTAATTTCAGCAGCTTTACAGTAGTCTGTCTTGAGTTAATAATATCTATGGAGGACCAAACTTGCAATAATTAAAAATAAGAGCAAACTGATTGTTCCAGATCTCGAAGATCCTCCAGAAGTGTGAGTCTGAGTGGACAGAGGAGGAGCGGTCGATGCTGCAGGCACATCAGGACACCGTGCAGGAGCTGAGCCGACGACAGAACCGCAGACACCTGCTCAAGAGGAAACAAGAGGAGGTACAGAGTGTGCTGTAAACTAACGCTGAACATTATATTATAATATGTGTGTCTACAATAGTTTAACATTAAAATATATGATTAAATATTGCTGAATAAATCATTCATATAATAAAGACCATGTTATTTTACGTTTGATTTTTTAATTTTTGTATTTGAATACCGTCAGACTCCCCAGAAAGCCATGAAGCACTGTTTATTTCACTTTTATTTTTGCACTTTTGTTTTATTAGTTTTAGTTATAAAAAGTCTTGGTTTCACTAGGTAATACTTGTTAATGTATTTACTAACATGAACTTATGAACGATATTTGTACAACATTTATTATTCATAACTCAACCATGTACTCATGCATTAATGACATCCACATTTGTGTGTCAACATTAGTTAATGTGAACTAACAAATCCACAACTGAATTTTCATTAACTAATGTTGTGTAACATGAAAAAACGCTGTAGAGAATGTATTGCTCGATCTTTGTACATGTTAGTAAATGCAGTAAATAATACAAACTTATTACCTTTTACAACCTTATTAAATCTTACCGCTTTAGTGGTTTATACACACACACACACACACACACACACACACACACACACTACCGTAAGTTTGGGGTCAGTTTTTTTTTTTTTTTCTGTTCTGAAGTTATTCTGTTTATCAAGGCGGCATTTATTAAATGTAAAATAAATTGTTAAATATTTATTTAAATTTTAAATAACTGCTTTCTTAATGCATGTAGTTTCAAATAAAAATATTACTCCAGTCATTATTGCTTTTGTTATTGTCACAATTAATAATAATAATAATAATAATAATAGCAATAATAACTATTAATATTAGAGTGATTTCTGAAGGATCATGTGCCTCTGAAGACTGGAGTAATGAAGCTGAAAATATACCTTTAAAATTCCTGGAATAAATTATTAAATTAAATTATAAGCTACATTTAACCAGTACATTTGACCAGTAGTATATATATATATATATATATTGAAATGACTAAATTTTTTGTGCATTACAGTTATTTAAATTACATTTACACTGCATTTAGTCATTTATTCAGTACTAAATTAAATAAAACCTAAACAAAACCAAAGCTTTTGTGTCTTTATAGGATAATGAAGTGCTATATAGGATATGCTGTGTGTGCAGGCGGATTTAATCTATTGATCTTTGGATGCTAAACAGTTGAAGTCAAAGTTGTAAGCCCGCCTGGGGGATTTTTATTTGTTTTCCAAATATTTCCCTTATGCTGAGTTAAACAGACAGAAGGCATTTTCACAGTATGTCTATGTTTTTTCTTCCAGAGAAAGTCGTCTTTATTTTAGTCTGACTGGAATAAAAGCTGTGATATATTTATTTTAAATATATTTTTATTCTAAATATATATATATTTATCTTTTTACAATGTTTAAGGCCAATATTATTAGTCATCCTAAGAAATGTATGATGTTTTCAATTATCTACACAACAGAACACTGGCATCTAATAACTCGACTAATTATTCCAACAAGTTAACATAATAACCTAGTGAAGTCTTTATATTGCGCTTTAAACTCATTACTAATATCTTGAAAAATAGGTACAAGCATTTACATTTGACAGGAGTACACTAATCATTTTGGGATGTTTGCAGGTGTTTGATGATGCTGAGAACTTGAAGACTAAAGTGAAGCAGCTGGCAGAGGCAGTCCAGCGGGCCAAACATCTGGTCATTTACACCGGAGCAGGAATCAGTACGGTGCGTCTCGCGTTCAGCTCAAAGCTTTTTAGATGGATTGTAATGTGCTGAAGAACATCCTTTCAAAACTTACTCACTATTAGTATTTACTCACCCTCAGGGTGTTCCAAACCTGTGTGAGTGTCAATTTTCCTCTGTTGATTCCAAAAGAGGATAGGTTGGTATCCAGATACGGCACTCGGGACCTGTGTTCAATAGCAGACGATTGTCTATGCTAGATTTCAATGGCAGACAGTGATCTAGGCTATTTTTAACAGCAGATGTATAACATAATAAATAGCTCTGATAAATAGTTTATTGACAATTCAGTATGCAATCCCAAAATGTTATTTTACAAACCCCCTGGGTTACATCTCAAATGAGAAAGAAAGAATAATTTGGAGGTCAAAATGAGCATTTGATAGCCATGCAGCACTATAATTATTAAATGCTTATGGAACAGCAGGTCTATGTCTGTGTTGGTCCTGTTGAATACGCAGCTTCATCATAGTCTGTAAGTTTGTGCTTTATTGTGTGTTTTTCAGGCCGCCTCCATCCCAGACTATCGAGGGCCCAATGGAGTGTGGACTCAGCTGCAGAAGGGCCGGTCTGTGAGGTGAGGATCCGCCGCTACGCTGTGGCCTGTGTGAAGATGTTTTTTCCTCCAGATGGATGTGTTTGGTGCCACATGTTCACATCTGTCTGTGTGCTTTTGTAACCATCAGTACATCCGATCTGAGTCAGGCTGAGCCGACCCTCACACACATGAGCATCTGGATGCTGCACAAAATGAAGATGGTGAGGAACTGCACATCATTTATGTGGACTGTGAATAACTTTGATTTGATTTATTAATTTAAACAGAAATATCATACATGATTCCTTAACACATGGAGCGGGATGAAGCACAAGCTTATTATATTCCCACATCATTACCACACACATCATTCGTCACTTACACTTATTTCTTCTTTTACTTTTGTTTTTAGCTGAGACATGTGCGCTTTGCGTGAGACATGCTTAATCTGAATACTTGCACACACATACATGCATTCAAAAAACATGAACTGAGTTATCATCCAGGAATATGATGAAGGACACATACATGTAGATCTATCTTACTGAATGTGTGTGTGTACAGTACACTCAAGCAAAACAATATACAGCCGAGAATTATTCACCCCCCCCCCTTTAATTTTGTTTTCTTTATGAAATATTTCCCAAATGATGTAGAACAGATTGAGGAAATGTTCACAGTGTGTCTGATAATGTTTGTTCTTCTGGAGAAAGTCTGATTTGTTTTATTTGGGCTAGAATAAAAGCAGTTTTTAATAGTTTAAACAGCATTTTAAGCTCAATATTATTCACCCCTTTAAGCTATATTTGTTTTGGATAGTCTACAGAACAAACCATCGTTATACAATAACTTGCCTAATTACCCTAACCTGCCTAGTTACCCTAATTACCCTAGTGAAGCCTTTACATGTCACTTTAAGCTGTATAGAAGTGTCTTGAAGAATATCTAGTCTAATATTATTTACTGTCATCATGACAAAGAGGAAATAAATCAGTTATTAGAGATGAGTTATTAACACTGTTATGATTAGACGTGTGCTGGAGAAATCTGCTCTCCGCTACACAGACATTGAGGAATAAAATAAGCAGGGGGTGAATAATTCTGCCTTCAGCTTTATGCAAATACAATATATTTAAATTTATGCTCACCAGTTAAAACACACACAAAACTGCTTTTATTAAATAGAGAAGGCAATAAAATCTATATTCTGAAATATTATAAATCTAAAATAGCTGATTTAAAATACTTTTATTCAACAAGGGTTTATTAAAATAATTCAAGGTAACTTTAAAGGTATATTTTTCCAGTCTTGTTTTTAAAATGTTTTTTTTTTTATTTACTAAACCATTTAAAAAGGTTTTACAAGCATATAACCTTTTTCAAGGGATAATAACCATTACTACTAGCTGAGCACTAGGTCAGCCTGTTAGACACTGATCATATACTGAGGATTTGTAGTAAAACACAAAGGCCTTGTTTTCCATCTGATTTGAGCATGTTGATGAATATCTTGTTTCCTCTTAAGCCAGGCATGTCCAAACTCGGTCCTGGAGGGTCGGCGTCCTGCAAAATTGAGTTCCAACCCTAATCAGACACACCTGGGCTAGCTAATCAAGCTCTTACTAGGCTTTCTAGAAACATCCTTGCAGGTGTGTTGAAACAAGCTGGAGCTAAACTCTGCAGGACACCGGCCCTCCAGGACTGAGCTTGGACACCCCTGACCTAAGCCGTACTGAAATGTTTTAATGTGAAGAGCGTTGTACAAATACACCTGGCTAGACTTCTGTTGTGTTTGCAGGTTCAGCATGTGGTCTCACAGAACTGTGACGGTCTTCATCTGCGCAGTGGTCTTCCCAGACACGCTCTCTCTGAACTCCACGGAAACATGTTCATTGAGGTCTGCACAGGTTACCTTTTTAAACCTGTCATACTGTAGATTGTGCAGAAACAATGATATCTGAAGTCCTAAAAGTAGAGCACCAAGATCTTAACATACAGCTGAAGGCAGAATTATTCACCCCCTGCTTATTTTATTCCCCAATGTCTGTGTAGCGGAGAGCAGATTTCTCCAGCACATGTCTAATCATAACAGTGTTAATAACTCATCTCTAATAACTGATTTATTTCCTCTTTGTCATGATGACAGTAAATAATATTAGACTAGATATTCTTCAAGACACTTCTATACAGCTTAAAGTGACATGTAAAGGCTTCACTAGGGTAATTAGGGTAACTAGGCAGGTTAGGGTAATTAGGCAAGTTATTGTATAACGATGGTTTGTTCTGTAGACTATCCAAAACAAATATAGCTTAAAGGGGCGAATAATATTGAGCTTAAAATGCTGTTTAAACTATTAAAAACTGCTTTTATTCTAGCCCAAATAAAACAAATCAGACTTTCTCCAGAAGAACAAACATTATCAGACACACTGTGAACATTTCCTCAATCTGTTCAACATCATCTGGGGAATATTTAAACAAGAAAACAAATCAAAGGGGGGTAAATAATTCTGACTGTATATCCTGCATGAATTGGATGTTTTGTCCTGCTCCAGTAATGTAACTCAAGTTTATTTATGTAGTGATTTCACAGTAATGATCATTCCAAAGCAGCTTTATAAAAGGTGCACGTTATTACATCACAATCTAAACGAGAGTTTTTTTTCTTTTGATTAATACTGTCATTACATCAATTATTATTATTAATCATTATGACTATGAATACTAAATACTATTTCAATATTCTGATTGTTGTTAATGTTATTTATTTAATTTTATTGACATTATGTTTCCATTGCTCTTTATGTGTTTGCCTCTTACTGATTGTTGTGTTTCGCACACTTAAATAAATAAATACACAGGAATATCAGAAAGAGTTAAGGATGTTGAGTATATGCTGGACATTACAGCAGTCATACTATATAACCCGCAGTTATAAAGTGATATCTCTGTTGTATATAATACATTTTCAGTTAAGTGATCTGATCATCATAACAACCAAGAACGAATTCATTCATTCATTTTCTTTTGGGCTTAGCTCCTTTATTAATCCGGGGCCGCCACAGCGGAATGAACCGCCAACTTATCAGCACGTTTTTACATGGCGGATGCCCTTCCAGCTGCAACCCATCTCTAGGAAGCGAGAACAAATTGTGTGTCATTATTGCTTAAGATCTTGTGCTTTCCTCGAGGTGTTTATTCAGAGTTTGATCCTGTAGTATTAAATGTAAGCCCCTGTATCATGTGTCTCACAGGTCTGCGATTCCTGTTCTCCACCACGAGAGTTTATCCGACTGTTTGACGTGACTGAGCGCACGGCTCTGCATCGGCACGGGACGGGCCGCTCGTGTCCTCACTGTCGAGCTGAGCTCAGAGACACCATCGTGCATTTTGGAGAACGTGGCACTTTGGAGCAGCCGCTCAACTGGAAGGGGGCAGCAGAGGCCGCACAACGGGCTGACCTCATCCTCTGCTTAGGCTCCAGTCTGAAGGTGAGGATATGACTAGAGTTTTGGGTTGCCAAATGCAGGACAGCAGAGCGTTATGTACTGTTGGGTCGTTTACATTAATTTGGCCATAACTTTTTCTGTGATTCAGCTTACGGAATAATTTCTTTTCTCTTTTGTTATGTTCAGGATGCAAACATGCACTGAATTAAACTGCTGTAAAATGCATCAGATTCATATTTTATTCAGTTTTTATTGCATAAATCTGTCAATCAATCTCAGACCTAATCCAAACTACTAAATCTTTTTGAAAATCACAGGATTTTAATTCTTTAAATGCCAAATTCAGAAATGATGTCACTGATTTGGTAAAAAAAGGGATCCGCTTTAGATGTTGACACTGTATATGATCTGCAGTTTGAGGCACACTAATAATGCTGATCACATTTGTCCATCAGGTGTTGAAGAAGTACTCCTGCTTGTGGTGCATGAATAGACCTGCAAGCAAAAGACCAAAGCTGTACATTGTCAATCTACAGGTAATATTTCCATCACAAAACCGCTCATAATCTGTTGATCCGTCTGTTTTCCACACACTGAACACTTGCGCTTGACGTCGTAAACTGACCGCTTGCTGTGTTCTCCTCCTTTGTTTTAGTGGACACCAAAAGATAACTTGGCCACTCTGAAGATTCACGGGAAGTGTGACGCTGTGATGGCTCTGTTGATGGAGGAGCTGGCTTTAGCAGTTCCCGTTTACAGCAGGCAAGGCCACGTCAAATATAATATGGATCGAGCTGTGATGGTTATTAATATTGCCTATTCTGAATTATTATTATTTATTCTGAGCAAAATAAAAATACTGACCGATCAATTTGACCTACGAAAATACTATATTGTGATTTATTTATTTATATAATTTAGTGATTTATATATTTAATTTAACTAAACAAAATAGTTTATGCAACTAAAAAAAAAGTTTATTTGGTTAAATTTAAAATCAGGTTAAATTGTTTAATCATTTATTAAATGACTGAAAATACTCATTAATCTTTATATTTAACGCTCATGCTTAACCTATGTCAGCTATAACTATTTAATTAATTACTTTTTGTTTATTAATGTTTTGTTTTATACATTTTACAGTATGAATCGGTTCATTCTTGCATTAATATATGTGCCTGTTGAATGTTTTTTTCACCCATGTTGTGACATCTCTTCTCAAGTTCATGATGTATTAAAGTAGATGCATTACTTGCATTTATTTTGCTTCTCATGTAGAGTTGAAGGCAAATTCTTAGCCCGAGTGCTGTTTAATGTAGAGAAGGGTTTTTTCACACATTTTTTAAACATAATAGTTTAAATAACTCGTTTCTAATAATTCATTTCTTTTGTGTTTTGCCATGATGACCGACAGTTCATACAGGCTGTCTGCAGGGTCCCTTCTTAATCAAGGGCTGTGGCATATAGCTCTACTGGGGCACAGCGCCCCCTAAATAAAATAATACTATAAAATAATTATATATATATATACAGTTGAAGTCTTATTTGCCTGAATTATTTGCCATCGTTATACAATAACTTGCCTAATTACCCTAACCTGCCTAGTTCCCCTAATTACCCTAGTGAAGCCTTTACATGTCACTTTAAGCTGTATAGAAGTGTCTTGAAGAATATCTAGTCTAATATTATTTACTGTCATCATGACAAAGAGGAAATAAATCAGTTATTAGAGATGAGTTATTAACACTGTTATGTGCAGACATGTGCTGGAGAAACATCTGAGAAATTGGGGAAAGAAATAACAATTCAAAGGGGGGCGAATACTTCTGACGTCAACTGTATGTGTAAATATATATATATATGTGTATATATATATATATATATATATATATATATATATATATATATATATATTGAGAACCAGAATTTGACAGTAGGTCTAATAATTCTGCCTTCCACTGATGGTGTTTTACACTAACTTGGCTTTTTTCTAAGAATGTATAGGTTTTGGTTTGAGCTGCTTAAGCCCCAGTGATGGTCATGTTTAAAGAAAAGGCTGTTAATATTAGATTAATTTGTAGGTCTTCAAATGTTTACTCGTTTGATTAATATTGCCTGTGTTTTATTCTTAATTACAGATTGCAGGACCCCATCTTCAGCATGGCTAAACCCCTCAGTCCGCAAGAGCAGAAGAGTCACTCTCGTAAAGAGATAGCGCCACCTTCTGCTTTAGAGGAGGTTTCGCAGTCAGCACCGCCACAGGGTGAAGGGCCAGCGGTTCAGGGCGGCTGGTTTGGAAGAGGTTACTCCAAAGGAAGACGGAAAAAGAAGAGTTCCTAGAGTTCATGTTAGGTATACGTCACCCACACAGCTGCTCAAACACACACTTTAGCTTGGTTTAGACTTGTGTTCAGGGTGCGTCACGTTTACAGGTTAAAAAAAAACCTATTGATAACTGGTTTTCTGAAGGGTTTTTTAAACCACTGGTAGAAGAGTAAAACCTCTGCAGTGGAAAAATCAAAGGCTTACACTGAAAAATAAGCTTTTCTTATGAGTTTTTATCTTGTTTCTTGCACAAATATCCAACAATTCTGAAATCAAGAAGAATCTTCACGATGAGTGAAACATGTCGTCTTATTTTCAGAAATATTTCAATTGACTTTTCCCTTAAAACAAGGTATAATATAATAGATTTGCATTGATATAGGTTTATCTTGCTGTTGTGCTTGTTTTCAGTGAAATCTCACTGAACTTGAATGTATTATTTCCCAAAACAAGACTCGTCTAGAACATGCTTCTTAATTAAGGATTTTAAGGAGATGTTTTGACTAAAAACAAGATAAAAACTCATTGTTTTTCGGTGTAGACTGGTTTACACGATGGTTTGGTTTTGCTGAGTGCACTTTACTTCCATTCTCAGGTTTATTAAATAAGCAATATATGTTTTTATGACAGCGGGTTTATGAGAACACGCTCACATTTGTTGCTGATGGTATTTATTAGTTCATCTAAAAAAGACGAGTGTTATTTACTCAGCCATATGTGGGTTCAAACCCTGAAAAAACAATGCAAAATGCATACAAACGACAGTGTAACATTGCAAATGTCATTATTTTTATGCAGAATAGCATAGGTGTTATGCTAAATTTCAGCAACGCATGCTGGAACAACATATAGATGGATAAATGAGGTGTTCATTTTTAGATTGCACTTGAGAATATAATGGTTTACATAAAGTCAGTATTACTGGATTGAGTGATTAGAAACGCTTTATTTCAGTCCACTATTAAATGATCAATCAGAGAGTGTGTATACATCAATGAAACCTTTTTATTGACCTTCAACAAATGGTGCTATAACCACAATTCACCTGCTAACTTTCATGTGTAAGGCATGTTATTAGACTTTACAGTAAGGTTGTATTAGTTAATGCATTTACTAAAACAGTAAACAATGCACAACACACAGTTTATTACAGCATTTGTTCATGTTCATACAGTTTGTGAACTCATGGTGCATTAACTAACGCTACCCAGCATGCATTTAGACGTTGAGCTATGCTTCTACAAACACTGTTCATAAGTCATGTTAGTGAACACATTAAACTAATGAAAGCTCATTGTAAAGTTTGACCACTCGTGTGTGAACTGGGGATGATGCTCGCTCAGATGTGCTCATTGATTTAAGCTGTTGCAGTAATCTGACGTTGTGTATTTTGTCCCATCATGGCCATTTGAGTGCAGATGTTTTGATTTCTACACACTACTGTATTTGAAGATCTACTTGTGCTGAAAATTTAAGATTTGTATTACACAATTGTAAGTTTCCTTCACTTCTTGTATCAAAAGATTCATCTGGCGCCCAAAACAGACCTTTTAAACAGGGTTGATGTTTAGCTGTTGGTTTTCAGCTTGTTTACTGCATCGATGAGCTCTGGGAAGGCTGTGTTCTGGAAATGTCCGCGGTCCGAGTACTTATGTAAATCTGTCTTCAGTCCATCAGCAACTTCCTGTTGCTCGTCCCAGGGCAAAAACGGGTCGTCTGTAGAGCCGAACTGAAGGATGTACTCCACATTTGCTCGTATCTTTTCCCATTCCCATGGTCGGCTGAAATATCCTGCGCATAGAAGGCAGAGAACAGAGAACATCACGTGAAAACGATTAACAGATGTGAAACAACACGATGAAAAAAATTAACTACATATAAAACTCACCTGACTTTCATCGTCTGGAATAAACATTTTTAATGTCGTGATATTCCAGTAATTACATGACCCGTGGTTATTTAACATGCAGCAATATTTAAATATGCACTTAAAAATACATGGATGAAACCTAGCTAATGATGAACTCACCGCTCTCACGCTCATTCTCATCTCCCAGATGTGATGTGTAGGCGCCCACCAGAATAATGGCAAAAACCTTGTGTGTTTCTGCATACCTGAAGCCCACAAACAGCAAGCGATCAGTGTAAAGACACGACACATGCAGCAATTCTCCAACTATCAACTGCGAGTAATTTTCAAGGATGCTTTTAAATGTTAAAACTGCAACTAGATCAGATTCGGGCGATCAAATCTGTATTTATCGACCCAACACCATTGTCAATAAGAAACGTTTGGTATGAAGCGCTAGTGTTTTATTCAAATGTGGCTGCTGAGCGCGTGCCCTGGAAGCAATGCCAATAAGCTTAGTGTGTGCTTAGTTGAGAGGGGTCTGGCTGCAGCGCTGGTGCAGTGCAATCTGAGCTGCATCCAATGCTTTTTAATAGGCCCCACCCCTCACAGTGACGTCACTGGCTTGAGTGCATTGTGTCTGACATTGCACTGCTGAGTGCTTGCATCATAAAGGCTGCATCCAGATGCTATCGGCTTAGTTTGTTATTTCCAATGGAGGGACGTGACTTGCACGACGCACACATGGGAGCATTTTCCAGGCACACCTAGTTCAAAAACATCTGAACTTTCCCGAATGCTGCGAGGATGTTGCCAGAGTGTTTTCGGTTTCTTTTCTTGTGCATCCCAGCCCCTAGCATCTTGACAACTTGTAATATTACAATACATACTTGAATAATGATGTTGGTTCTTTCACTTGACAGCTCAGATCTGATGATCCTCATTTGTGAGGTTTAGAGTTTGAGGTTTACTGCTTTATTATTATTCACACTTTACACTTTACCATTGCACACACTTTGTAGCATTTTATTGATCAGGTTTAAGAGTCTCTTTACCACTTACATTTCTTTTATTATAAAGAGAGCAGATATTACTGCTTAAATATTTTGGTCTTCGGCTATTAAAACTATTTAGTAATGTTGGTCAATTAAAATAAAGTGGTTAAAGAAAAAAAAATCATAATATTCCTAAATGGATTGATAAAAAATATTCAATAATTATCAATACTAAATGATATGGAATGTGAATATTGGATAATTGTTTTTGCAATATCGCCCAGCCCTAAATTATCCTCACTTTAATCTTCATTAAATGCGTATTCACATGGGGAAATGATCAGAAATACAGTGACAGACCTGGACACGTGATCTTCAATAGGGCTGCACAATAATGGAAAACATACATTTATAAATGCGACTTATATTGCGATAACTTAATCAGTTTTTTATCAGTAATTTTAAAATCAGTAATTTTAGATTGACTGAAATTATTTTGTATAAAATATAATAAACAAGCAGAGAGTCAATAAAGTAGAGCAAATATAGAAATGAAGGAGCCTAACAGGTACAGAAATAAAAGAGTCAAATGTAAAAGCTGAAAGCTGTATAATCCTCATTGAGCAAATATTCAATATGATTAATCTTTGTTAAAGCTACAAACTTAATATTTCCTTGAGCTCGAATGCTTTAAACTCACTTAAAATGTTTACGCAGGCCTTAAAAACACGAGCAGTTGATCAAATCATTTCTCTTTATTATGGTTCAACTCCATCGATGTGTTCTGAACTGCTGTACCTGGTCAACAGTACAGTCGACTCCACATTGCAGGTCCTGCGATTAGACGATTGTGTATTCACACATTGCGATATCGATGATGAAAGTATATATTGTGCAGCCCTATTCTTCATATCTCGCTGTGGCTCATCTATAATATTCATGATTTCTCTATGGTGTTCTTCAGTACCTCATGGCTGCGGCCGCTCCTGAACTGTGTCCGATGATGAGCGTTTCTTCATCACATTTCAGATCCTTCTCCATGAACGGCAGCCAGACGCTCTCTCTGGCCGTTACTGTCAGGGTAAATATATTATGTTATGCCAGATATATATGATTTACATCTCATCTAATGTAGTCATGTCAGATTGTCTTGTACTACCAGGATCCGGCATGTTCTTCAGTGCACAAGACAGATCTGGAATCTGGAGAAAAGATAAAGTGTTTTAAATGATGTGCTTGTTGGTATAGCTGTGTTTGGTGATGAGGTAAACACAACAGTGCCTTTTATTTTGTAGTAATACAGTAATATTTCGAGGAATGCTAACTGGCAGTTTCTTTTCAGCTTAGTCCCTTTATTAATCCGGGGTCGCCCCAGCGGAGTGAACCACCAACTTATCCAGCACACGTTTTACACAGCAGATGCCCTTCCAGCTGCAACCCATCTCTGGGAAACACACTCATACACTACGGACAATTTAGTCAACCCAGTTCCCCTATAGCACATGTGTTTGGACTGTGGGGAAACCGGAGCACCCGGAGGAAACTGATGTGAACCCGGGGAGAGCATGCAAACTCCACATAGAAACACCTACTGACCCAGCCGAGGCGCAAACCAGCAACCTTCTTGTTGCCTTGAGGCCACAGCACTACCTACTGCACCACTGCATCGCCCCAATTTAGATTTATTTAATCAATTTTTTACATCAGATCAGGATCTTAGTGAGTACTTCACTATATGTGATAGTTAGATTTAGGATAGGGAATGTTTATTTCCAGAACCTTTACAGTCATTTTTACCTGGCTTTGGAACAATTTTCCCAAACCCATAAATCGTAGGAAGTCTTTTGAGGAATATTAATACATTTTACATTCATATATCTTCTGAATTGCCAGCTACATGCATTTATATGTACTTCATTTAGGGCAGGGGTGTCAAACTCAATTCCTGGAGGGCCGAAGCCCTGCACAGTTTAGTTCCAACCCTGCTCCAACACACTTACCTGTAGGTTTCAAACAAGCCTGAAGGACTCAATTAGTTTGATCAGGTGTGTTTAATTAGGGTTGGAACTAAACTGGCCAGACTTGCGGCCCTCCAGGAACTGAGTTTGACACCTGTGCTTTAAAGGATGTGATAAATTTACAAGATCTCACTCTGTATTCGTATTGTTAGATGAGTAACCACATCAGTGCGAGACAGTTGAGACAGCTGTTTATTCCTGTTTATAGTTTTATGTTCAATCAATCAATAAAAACATGCAGCACTTGTGTTATTTTACATTTTGCAAAGTTTCAATAAACTGATCGATTTTTAAATATGATCAGGCTTCAGATGAACAGGGTCAGGTCAGGTGGAAACTGACTGTGTACATGTTATAATAGAGGACACAGAGGTAGAGTTGGTTTATATTCGCACATTGGCTCATTTAGCAGTCTCTATATCGTTTATCATGCTACTGTGAATATTCGATCAGTGTTAGCACGCAATGATGACTTCAACACAACATCAACACTGTTTATTTGACTGTCATCAATGCTGTACTTTAATAATCAATAGCTGCTAATATGATTTCCCTATTTAGAGTTTGCAAATAATACTTTTATGAAATTATATTATTAAGGAGAAAGTCTGAATGTGCGAATAAAAGCTTCACCTCGTTATAGATGACACGTGTCTGTGTTATTGCATTCTCTCGGTGACCTGATCGTACCTCATTTATTCGTTTGTTGGCCCATCCGTACCAGTTGCTACGCTCAACATCTCCTGCGCCGTTCCCAGGCACAATCACAACTCTCTTCAGAGGCATTATAACAGCAAAATCCAGCTCCTTACTCAAAAACTCATACACGGAAACACCCCAGACGGCATGTGGAGCGATATTCCGCAGCGCAGCGCCTCCTGGAGGTCAGTCCGCCATCTTGCTCTGAGTTTTAACTTCTCCGACTTTTTGTCAACTGCAAACTACGAGCTGAAGTTATTTTAAGCGAGGCGTTTACATTGAACAGACAGCATCTGGGTCTGCTTTATACATTAATCATCGTTAAATGCGAGGTCAGATGGGTAAATGGCTGAACACGTGATCTCTCGCTTTTTTTTTTTTTGTAAAATATTTTCACAATTGCTAATAATAAAATTCATAACTTTACTGCATCTTATGAAAAGAATGCATTTAATAAAAGGTCTGATATACCTTTAGATAATATCAGCAACATAAATCCTGTGAAGCTGTAAGCATCTGTATTGGCATTTTCATGCATGAATATTGAGCGGGGATTTTCCATGTGAGCTGCTGTGGGTTTCAGTAGGACAGGACTGCACTCACCCACTGCCGCCCCGGGTGATCTGTCATCGGCAAACCTCTCCCATCCGACCGAGAGGAGGAGTGTGTCGTGTCACAACACTGCGAGCGGCTCATAGGAGAGCTCTGCTTATTGTTTGTGTCTGTTTAAACCCATTCTCTAAAGGATTTCAGGACTAATGTATCTATGAAACTGCATATTACTGATCGATGACCGATGGTGGATCTCTGCTGTCTGGATATCAACAGTTCAATGAGTGCTGGAGGAGATGAAGCATCAGGGTGAGTACTGTTACTGTTTATTTCCATATGAAGCGAATATACAGTGCTCAACATGTGAAGTCAATCAGAATAAGTTCTTCAAATGGGTGTTGAATAGTTCTCTCCACTTTATTTTGGTCCACTTCAACTGTTGGCTGTTTAAGCATGATCATCATGTCAACATGAGTGGGCAACATGGGATTCTCAAAATCTTAGTGTCCACTAATTAGAAGAGCTGGTCAGTGTTTATCCAGTCAACAAAAGACGCTCTTACATTCCCATTTAATCCAACATTTGGGATTTTTTAATGTCTTAAACATCACATAAATTATTTTTGTCTTTGAAAAATTGAATAAAACCATTACAGACCATCAGATTTTACCCTCAAACCCACCTGATTTACTGATTTCTATATTGTGTTTGGGACACATTTCTTCAGGACTCATTGGTTTTTAACATGCCACCATTAAGAAGGGAAAATTAGTGACTATTTGAGATCTAAATGATCATTTCAGTGTCCATTAAAGCAGTACTGTACTGAACAAACCTTCATTGCTTTACTCAATGTTTAAAGTTAAGTTTTGCTTGTAAACTCTACATCGGCTGAATTTAAACAAACAAATCACATGTAGTAATCTTCAACCTAATTTGTTTAAATTCAGCTTAGGGTGACGCAGTGGGTAGCACAATCCCCCTCACAGCAAGAAGGTTACTGGTTCGAGTCTCAGCTAGGTCAGATTGTGGAGTTTGCATGTTCTCCCCGTGTTGGCGTGGGTTTCCTCCATGTGCTCCGGTTTCCCCCACAGTCCAAACACATGCGCTATAGGGGAACTGATCAACTACACTGGCCGTAGTGCATGAGTGTGTGTATGGGGGTTTCCCAGTGATGGGTTGCAGTTGGAAGGGCATCCACTATGTAAAACATATACCGGATAAGTTGGCGGTTCATTCCGCTGTGGCGACCCCAGATTAATAAAGGGAGTAAAAAGAAAATTAATTAATAAAATTCAGCTTATAGAATTTGCAATGAACCTTTTTTTCGCTGGTCTATATTGTTGTTGTTGTTGTTGTTGGTTATTGTCAATGTTAGTGAAAACTGGAAGCATTGTATTGTATAATTATGGGAACATTATTTTAAATGTGCTTTCAATGGTGTAAAGATCGCATGTAGTAAAGTTCAGATACGTTTGAAGAACTTGTAAATAAAATGAAGCACTTTAGAATGGAAATGAACTGTTTCGAGAACATTTTACAATGCAATAATACAGATCACACCATTTAATCTTAATATGTACTATGCTCACACTTGATACATCTTCATACAGCTGAAGTCAGAATTAATCACCCCCTGCTTATTTTATTCCTCATTTTCTGTGTATCAGAGAGCAGATTTCTCCAGCACATGTCTAATCATAACAGTGTTAATAACTCATCTCTAATAACTGATTTATTTCCTCTTTGTCATGATGACAGTAAATAATATTAGACTAGATATTCTTCAAGACACTTCTATACAGCTTAAAGTGACATGTAAAGGCTTCACTAGGGTAATTAGGGTAACTAGGCAGGTTAGGGTAATTAGGCAAGTTATTGTATAACGATGGTTTGTTCTGTAGACTATCCAAAACAAATATAGCTTAAAGGGGCGAATAATATTGAGCTTAAAATGCTGTTTAAACAATTAAAAACTGCTTTTATTCTAGCCCAAATAAAACAAATGTGCATGTGGCATTAAGTGTAGAGCTGGTTCTCTTGTGTTGTTGAGTGCTGGAGGTCTGCTCTGCTCATTTCTGGCTCCTGCTCTTGTTTTCAGTGTATAGCAGTAGTTGGTTTGAGTTGTGTATGATTAGACGTGTGCGAGTCTGTCATGACAGCTGTGGCCAGCACGGGTAGGCCTATACTTTTATTCTCTGTATATTTAGATACTGCAGCAGATGTCTCAGTGAACTGGTGGGGTTCAGACGTCACTCATCTATACAGATATGAACTTGTAAGCCAGGTGGACAGATGAACCATCAGGAGACAGATCACTCACCTGTCCGGGGTTTTGGCAGGTGTTGTGTTAGACCTCTTAAAGCTAGGTTTCTGTCAGTATCAGATCTTCATGTTGCAATTCATTTCTTAAACTTTTATGCAGTAGTGTCACAATATTGAGCCAAGCTGGTTATTTTAACCAGCAGTTTTTAACTGTTTAAACAGCATTTTAAGCTCAATATTTGTTGATTGTATAGATTTAATAAATGGATGATAACTTGTAATCAGATTACCACTGCTTTTTCACGTATTACTCTGCATTAAAGTCATCTAAAATGAACACGTTTGGGTAGTTTTCATCAGTAGTTACAGTTACAGTAGTGTACAATAGCCCTATGAATCATTACAGAATCATCAATCAATATTTCAGCATGTGATAGAGCACAACAACACGAACATGCTCATGTTTGAACTGTTACACTTTTTAATAATACATTTTTCCGATGTTTTGCTCTTCTTCAATGAAAGTCTGCTTTCATGTTTTGCTTCAATAGCAACTGCATGTTAATCCTCTTGGTGACCATTAGTTTGCTATGAGCGAATGGTGTGCGAAAGAAAGCCCCGCCCCCTACTCAATATTCAGTTTCAGTGTGAAGTACATCATCATACTGAAATAAAAGTCTCGGCAGATTCAACACTTCTGAATAACCAATGCACATAACACGTGAGTATCATTAAAAAGCACCCTCAGGCTGCGTTCACACTGCGCTGTTCAACTGACGCAATTCTGATTTTGCTCTCCAGTCATGTGGACGTGTACGTGTGTACGTGTGAGCAGAAACAGATGGATTCCCATTACTCAAATCAGATTCAGGCCTTGTTCTTTGTTCATTTCTCTTTTTCATTTATCTTCTTGTTCTCATGTGGAAATGTATCTGATATGAATGGGATCTGTGTGCTCGTGTCTGTAAGCAGGTGGCTCGGATGTTCACTTGTCAATGTGAGGTTAAAACCATAGCGAATGACGTCAAGTCGGACACCAGTCATACACTTTAAAGGGAATGAGAGTCGAGACTGTGATTGGTTGAATGCAGGTTGTGCTCAAAACCCAGCCAGAACTCATTATGAGAATCAGCACCGCCCTGATAGCGCATGCGCCGCGTGCAGACTGCGTTATTCCCTCTTTAAAATGGCAGAAGTGGATTCAGATATGCCCGTAATGATTTTGCTGTAAAAAATAAAACCCTAAAAGTGTAAATAAATAATAATGATTGACTATATTCTGAAGTGCGCATGATATCAGTGCATGTTCATTATCACAGTATACTGAATTATTGAATATTGTATGATGTCTGCTTGAGGCCAAATATCAGCTGTCTCCACTGCTTTGAAGCCGAGAATATCCACCATGAGCTGGTTTTCTGGCTCCACAAGCCATCCAGAGATGACACCCGGATGGGCGAGGAGTGCAGTGAAGCGTGCAGAGGCGTAATCCTCACGCTAATGCTTGCTGAATGCTTTCAGAATAACCTTCTGGCCTGCCCTGATCCTCACGGCCCTCTTCCTTGGTGGGATTAGGGAAGTTTTCTTTGGTCTTTTCATGCCAAGTTCATGGCAAACCACAGTAGAAAAGGTTCAGCAAATGCATGATTCCCGTCAGCCTCTCTGTTCCACAGCACACCTGCCCTATAGTCACTAGTCGAGCGTGCTGGCCTGGCCTCTGTTTACTCCTGCTCTTTTGCACTCTTTGCTTCAAGTTAAAGGAAGATTAAAATGCCTGAGCATCAGTGAGATGTCTGATCACCAATTAGGAATGGTAAGAGTTTATACTGTATTTTAAAAAGTGAGGTCCACGCATAAACTATGTACTATACTGCAGACTGTCAGCTTTAATCTGAGGGTGTTTGCATCCAAATCAGGTGAACGCTGTAGGAATTACATGCTCTTAAGGGCGCAGCTATCTGACAGCGCTTTCAGTGAAAAGCCATGTGGAAGTCAGCATTGCCACACTGGCTCTGTGTGGGGTTTGGAGGAGATAAATACTTCTGCTGGATTCAGAGAGGAAGTAGAAACTCTCCTTACCCTGCGCAGGGAGTAGCAGGTCAGGTGCTGTCTGAGCAGGCTTACTCACCGCCCAGACGGTCGCCACAGAAACTCAGTGTAACAGTAAACACACGTGGCCTTCATCACTGAGCCTGAAATGATATCAGTGTTCCTTTACTGAGCAGATACCGTGAAGCTTCACTCAGACAGACTCAACAATGAACAATACAGGCTTCAGCGTAGGGCCGCACGTAAACTCCCCAAATCTCATGTGTTGAACTGAACTGCGGAGACTGTAATCCAGACTCAGCATGGCATATGTGAACGTTGCCATCTTCACACTCACACTTGACCAGAAACTCGCTGTGCTTGATCATAGAGTTTGATCATATCAGTTAGCAGCGGCAGCAGAGTTTCACAAGAAGAGGACTCGGATGTGTTTGCCCATGACGTCCC